CAATCGTAAACAGTTTAACTAAATCTGGCAGCACTTTTGCTCCTAATCAACTTGTGTCGCCTAATGGCACCAACTCAGTCACTAGTGGAATATTTTCGCCAACGAGTCAAATCAATTCTCCTGTTTCTAACGATACGATCTCTTCAAAAAGCGGAGTCTTTTCTCCTATGAGTCAAACAAATAAAAGTGAAATTTTCTCACCGATATCTAGAAGTTCTCCGGTATCAGCGAAAAATGTATTTTCGCCAACTTCTAATCAGTCAATTATATCTCCCGTTATGGGTAAAGATCGTGACAAAGTTATGTCTCCAAATACAAATACAGCAAGTACCACACCATCTGGTAGATCGAGAAGGAGCAAACATTCCCACCGAAAGGAGTCCAGACATTACCAGGTAGAGTACATGTTCTCTGAATGTGGATATTTGCACAAGCATTTTTGATAAAATACTAATAGCACGAAATTGTATGGTAATAACAAACAGCACAATGTTGTCAGCCTGTTTAACCGTGTACAGTCATATATTTAATTAATTCCAAAAGATATATTTAAAATAGTTGTAGTGTTCAATTTTGCTACCATAACCCAAAATCATGTAAATTAATTCTTATGTTATTTTATAGGAATCAGATATCTTAGAATCTCCGGGTGTGTATTGCCGAAGTTCTTTAATGGATAAAGTATCAGACTATGAAGATATTTGGGGACCGGAAAGTAACAGCTGTTCCACTTTCAAACCATTGAAACCCGAAAACGAAAACAACATTCATAATGGCCTGATGAAAAGTAAAAGGCCTGATCTTTTGCCAGACACTTTACGTAAGTAAAAACAAAAGTTTAGATATCATTAATCACTTCCTGGTGTTATAAATCAAATAAATTTTGTGGTTATAAGAGACGATGTTTCAACATAACTTTAATTTTTATTACAGCCAAACTTAATGCAGCTAAAAGTACGCAATCCATTTTAGAAAAAGAAAACATACATTTAATCAATTCGACGGAAAGTCTGAATGAAAAGAAAACTCTCTCGGATGGCTCTTTAAAGAAAAGCTTTAAGGGTTCAAATGAAATCATAGCCACTACAAACAGCAAGGGAGATATTGTACCAAAGAGGCCGGACAGACTTAATATAGCTATGAATATGAATAAAAAATTGACCGAAGAGATTGAGGCTGCAGTTAAAAACAGAGAGAATTACAGTATTGAAAGTATGGAGACCATTAAAATAGAAGATGAAAGTGGTCCAAATTCTATGGGCGAGGAATCTGAAAAGGACAATGCTGGCAGCCCCTTCTACGCTGATCCTGTAGATGCTTTAAAGGAAGTGAGTACATATTTCAATGACGTATGTCTTATATGGGACACTCTTGAATATCTCGTACTAACAGTAAATATGTGTCTCTTTTCACAGGCTGCTTTGCCTCAAGTGCAACGACGAAAACTTTTAAGAGTTGGAATGAACCTTTCCCAACGTTACTCGGAACCACCGACACAAAATCATCCGTACTATCCGCTGCGCGATATGCACAGTATTGAGGAACTTTCTCGTAAGTATACTTATAGAGAGATCTATGTTCTATCTTTGTTGTGTCAAAACTATAGAAGGCTGATCGGTTTGAGTCACCCCGTCTATTTGTCTGATTGCAGCATCATCACCAAACACTTCGTCTTCAGTTGACAACCTGATGTCTCTGCGCAGCAAACCTAAGATGAAGCCAGTGCAGCCTCCGCGTATCGCAAACAAGCCACCCACAGGCAAGAACGACCAGACTTGGACCGTTGATTCCAGTTGGGAGTTTATAAGTCAGTGTTACAGAAATACTGTAGAACAGTAGATGCTGCTTGTAAATTTTGCTCCTGCACTCCCAACTTTTCTTTTACCACAATTCGATATTCACATTCATTGGCTTTACAAATAATCCGACAAATCGTCATTTTTATTTCATAGGAATCGTGTTTTTTGGTTCTTGGGCTTTCTTATTGTAGGTATACTTTTGGGAAACTGGTAGCACTTAAAATTTGTTAACTATTCAAATATTTGTTAATAATAAAAACTTGATAGACTTAGTAAATAAACAGAAAATTTAACATGGTCTTACAGATAAGAACGATGAAGGTTCAAATAGTGAGAGCGGTACGTTCCCTTCGTTGGCTGAGCAGGAGTGCCGATTGAGTGCAGTTGATGACGGAACCCAACACTTGACTGTACATCAAGTTGTTGCACAAAGGTATGATGTAATTCAGTTACGTAATGATTAAGGAAACTATTTCTACGTGTCCCTACTCTTACAGTAGTATGTATTTATTCTCATCTCATCATATGTTTCGAGTGACTTTTGTCTACTTCTTTCATTTTTAAAATCTACTCTGTATTCGTCATCTGTTGGTCATAGCGTGGTGTTTTATAGCCATAACATTACTGATGTATTTAACCGATCAGCTGAATAGCGGGTGAAACCGCGTGGTAGCATTCATATAACAAAAGAAGAGGACGAGAATACAAAAATAATTGTACAAATTGAACGAGTAGTCTAGAATATAATTAATACTCATACTAGTAACTATCGTTTCGAAATCTTCAATGACAGTTAAAACATAACCTCGTGTAAGTCACATGACAACAATAAGAATATTTTACTTGAAACAATGAGGTTCTTAAAATTATTATGTAAGAGCGTGATAAAACATGACAAGTTGTACTACTTGAGAACTCGACATTGGATAATAACATATCAATTAATGTTGCGTTATTTATTGTTTCAAAAAGGTTGCCTGATTTGAGACTGAATGCAGAGCCGACGATGTTGCCAGAAGAAGTGAGATCGCCACCAAGAGCCTCATGTTATGACAACGTGCACGATCTGAGACCTTTATCTGAACAGGTAACATTTTATCGAAGTTCATCCGAATTGGAATCTAAAACTAAAGAAAACCTGCTTTACGTAAAAAGCAACCATGAAAAGTACCGTAAAATGTCATCCATAAGCCAAGTGAGATTTATCATCTCCTTTAAAACATTTCAACATATTTTTGATACTTGATGTAGCTATAATTACCGGGGAAATAATAATTTGAATTTAACTTGTTTTTGATTTAGGTACAAACAATATCACATTTTAAGTATTACCACTTTAGATTTTAATCAATTATATAAGACAATTACAATCTAAATAAGTGTTTGTCTTTGCACTATTGCTGGATTGCTTTGTCAATCCGTGTTCTATGAATTTTATGAAGATTGCTCTATCCATAGGCACACATAATATCGTTGATAAATTCGTCCTTTCTCTTATAATGCGTTATCTATTTCACAGGCAAGCGATGATGGAACAGTGTTTTCCGAACCTTGGGACAGTTCGCAGTGGGACGGATTGATACCTCCATCGAATGGACATCAACTTTATGATAATGTAAGCATAACTTCATTAAAACAAAGATTTCCTTTTATTTATGAAAAGACGACGTTGCTTATTCCTTGGTTGTCTGAAAAAAATCGCCTTGTGTAATAAGATTTTTATAGATTTGTGATACTGCGTAAAATAAAGTATATACATATATAAATATTTTGAAGACATTTTTCGCAATGTCCACAGCAACAAGAAAATGAAGTATAATTGCTTTATTTTCATTTTCAACAGATTATATTATTATGCTTATCTTGCAAAAATATTTGATCAAGTTTAATCTCTTTAACTTCTACAATTAATTTTATGACAGCTTGTCTCGCAAAGGTGACCTTATATGATGCCAAAATAATTACGTTCAGATTAGGGATCCTTGTGTAATTTATTTACATTTTTAAGAACCAACCATCTTAAGTCATGCTATCATGCAAAAGAATGCAATGCTTCTAGTAAATCAAACCTTACCTGGTAGAGCGAGAAAACCATTGTGTCAATTAGATCATGTTTTCATTAGGTACAACTATTATTCACTCAGTTATGTTTCTGGATTATGGCATATAATGTTATGTTGTATTTTCTGTAAAGAAAAAATTACAAAAGGTGAAATTTTTTGTGATTATTAACTTTAAAACGTTACAACAGAGTCTATTTCCTGTTGGCTTAAAGCAGAAAAATTATTTTGTGTTTGTGGTGTTTTAATGTTTGATGTACTTTAATAGGAGGAGCCCTGTGAATGGGAGTCACCTATTCCGAGGAGGGGGCCGACTGTTGCCACGAGGGCAAAAAGTTTCAGGGACCGTCTGGATCCTCTATTAGGTGAGTTTAATTTCAAAAAATACCATAGGCAAACCGCAGGTGACAATTATGATTGAATTATTAGATAGTTTCAACCGAATTCAGTTAAGTAGTGTGTGTGTTACCAAATGCACAGACATAAATTGTCATATATGTTGTAGCAGTAATTGAATGTGTAACATAAGATAATTGTCGGTGAAAGTGACATGTCCACATAAATATTAATTGATTAATAATTTCTGCTCTGAATGGGAAGATAGGACCTATGAAATACGTCAGTGCACGTGTTATACAATTCATTTACTTACTCACGTTACACATCATACTTATAACAACACTATGTAAATACAATTTAATATGGAGCACGATGTGATAATACTACAGTCATATACATAGATACTAAAACGGAAGATTCACTAAGTCATCTCTAAACATAAATATACAAATTATATTATTGTTCTATTAAAAGGCATTTTTAGGTCATTACTATCAAAACTCACGTTTTCCTCTTGCACTTGGATGTTTATACATTATCTCAACAATATAGCGCCTGCTTATATCACTCATCGCAAATCACAGATGTCCTCTGCACAATGCAGACCGATTTGTAATTAATCAATTATTACACATCATTATCAAATTAATTAACTCAGTAGAGCACACACAATAGGACCGCAGCGCACAACTATTATCGTTAGTAGGTACATTAGCTCTGTAAATAAATTAATTATGGCTAAAGAGCAAAGGTCTGCGCGTGCCGTGAATTTCTCAGACATTCTCAGTGACCGGTGCAGTGTAGTGACAGTCGCTTTCCAGCCCGCGTTGGATGAGCATCTCTTCAACCGCGCTGTGTGAATGAGAAACTACCGTTTTAAATCTTTCGTGCACGCGGGCCAGAACCGCTTAGTTATCAGCCATGAAGTGGTTCAGAAGGTGGTTCCTCGGAAGGTTCGGGAAGTCGAGAAATGAGAAGACTGAATCAGGCTCCAGCAAGCTCTGGTTCAAATCTATTGGATCGTGGGAACACTTTACGTCTTTCAAAGAAGACGTTGAAATGGCGGAAGATGCCATGGAAGTGTTAGAAGTATTATTGCCGGTTAAACGTAGTGAAGTCTTTGCGTTAACCACCATCAAGAACTTTAGGACGGACAGTTTAAAGGATTTCGTGTTGGAAAGTGACTGGGTTATCTTATCTCGAGATCAACTGATGGAGCCGAAACTCCAAAGACACCTGCAAAAGCCTAATTCCTTGACTAGTTTGTGTAGATCTTTGGCCGAAAGGTCAGTCTTTAAGAAAAAGGCAGAAGTGATTGCGAAGCCACCCTTTTGTCACTGCAATGAACTAATGAGTTCATGTGACAGTGAGAAGCCGTTACGATTGAATGTATTTCGAAGGATGATCAACAGTTTCAAGAGGTTTTTTAGTCTCCTGTATTCTAATGTAAAACGTACATTATTTAAAGATGAGACAGTTGTCGAAATTCAGTTCATCAACGAGGATAATTCGCTCGAAACATTTTCTTCGTCCAGCATGTACTTATGTAGGTAATTATTGTTTTGTTACAATCGCATATCCAATGTGCCGTGTTCTAAGATTATGACTGTTTATAATTATCACGAAAATGAGGTTGAAACAATAAATATGTCACTTTAATGTATCTAAGTACACAAATTACATGTTAATTCGTCGTTATGATATTAATTAGTTCTGATTTATTATTTTGAGGGTTCAATTTATCTGTTTATCGATCATAATGCGACGCCTAAATAGCTTTTAAATATTTTGACCTTTAAAATAACTAAGACTGTGAACTCATTAAAATTTTTGATTTTGTTTACAAAGTTATCTTGTTCAGTACTAAAATAATAAATTGTGTTGATTTACGAAAAAATAATTTTGTAATGAGCTTGAAGATAGCTAAATGATTTGCAAGCAACGCTTATCTGAGGGTTGATAACGAAATGGTCAGGAATGTGAAACTGGAATTTTAAAAGCCTAAAGCCATTTGCTACTATTGTTACCACAATACCAACCTTATCACCGCTGACTCACAGTGATGGAGGGTGTCAACCGAGTGCCGATGTGGGTCAAAAAATCCCTCAGTATAATGTTCGAATAGAATATTAATATTTTATCGTTTATCTAGATTATGAGGTCATAATTTCCGACGTGAATCAATCGTGTATTCTGCATGCAATTGAAATGCTAATTCTAAAATATTTTAATTATCACTTTGTAAGTGAATCGAATCCCTTTTTAAGTAAGATATCTCATTAATCAATTTCTACTTATTAAGACTACGATGCGGTTATTTCTTACTTTATAAAATACTGGATTTTACGAGTACCTAACCGCAGCTTCGCTCCTGTCATTCTGTCCTACCTAGTTACTTACCTACAATACCTACTCTATCCTATCTAGGTACCTACCTACACTTTCCATCCTACACTATCTACCCTACTCTACTTACGCTACACTACCTACCCTACCTACTCTACCCTAGCCTATGTCCTTCTCCCAGTTCTTACCCTACCAATTCTCAGCGAAATCGGCTCAGCCACTCTTTATGATTTTAATATACATGCACCTACTAGCGGACCCTCCCCGAAAACCCCACATATCAAATTTCAGCGAAATCGTTAGGACCGTTTCCAAGATCACATGCTTTTTCAAGCGATCAGAGCTGATTTGTGAATCTGAACCATCCAGTGCGCCACTCAAACGCATACAAAAAAAATCATTTAAATCGGTCAAGCCGTTTAGGAGAAGTTAGTTATACACGTCCAGAATTACGTACATAAATATATAAATGTAGATGTTTATATTATGAACTTTAATCTTTCAATATTTTTCTCGGCTTCTGAATAATATATGTTTTTTTCCAAAATAGCGGCTGGCAGAGTGCGTGCCTTGCGCGGCGGTCGTCAAACACGCGGCGCGGGCGCAGCGCTGCGTGCGTACGCGCTACATCTTGCACAGGACAAAAGCACTACTTTTGCTCAGAACATCGACAACTTTATCGCTTGCACCCTCGATTCTAAGGACACAAGTCCGCAGGTAAAATTTTGTGGAAAGTTTTATAAAAAATTACATTAAGTACCTTATATTAGTAACCAGCTGAGGCCAAGAACAGAAGAAAGAATGGTTGGGTTTTTAGTCAGTAAGAGTCTGACACTCCCTCACGCTTACCCTGGGCGGGAGAAGTCAGTTGATGATTTTCATCGTAACGTCCTCATATGTGATTTGTAAACAATCATTTTATATTTTACTAACACGTGATAATCAAATAACCGTAACTATGTATAAATAATTTCATGCGTCAGTATTTTATTAGATTCTTTGCAACTCATAAAAATCATTAAATAAAACAATTATTATAAACTCTTCCTCAGGTAATGATGAGAAACATGAGGCAGTTTATGTCAGGCATGAAGAACTACCTGGTCAAACATGGCGAAAGGGAGTTCGAGAAAGAAGTCGAGAAGGAACGGCTCAAGGTGAGTTCTTAGAGTTTTTATTTACTAAACAATCTACCCTTTCCAAAATAAGTATGCAAATTAAATCTTAAATATAAAATGCAACCGGGTGTTGTGAGGTTACAAGAGTGAGCGAACAATACGGTACCGCTAGTCAATAAGAGACTGACACTCCCTCTCACGTCACGCTGGGTGAGAGAAGCATATCGATAATTAAATATCATCGTAAAAAATTTAAAATTAAAAATGAAAATATATTTTATTATTAAAAATATATTTTAAGGTTCCTAGAACTTAGGTTAGAAATAACTGTCAAGACTTGAATCACTTAAATCATATAGCAATAAAAAAATAATATACGATTCTAAAAGTATTGTAACTCCATTTTCAGCTAAAACCAACAGAGTTCCTGAACTTGGATGCTATATTAGAAGGTGTGATGCATCGATTGGTGGTACGTCCGTTGCGCGCGCGCCTCTACACGCTCCTGGCGGCTTGGCACTCGGCTGATGTACGTCGTCTACACGCCGCCATTGAACGAGCACAACATGCCACACCTTTACAGCTAGGAATTAAGGTATATATTCACAATTATACTGAAGATGATGATTTAATCAAAATTGGTAAAATCGGCTGGACTGATTTCGTATTATTATTATTCTTTAACACAAAAAAGGGCTGGACCGATTTTGTTGTAGTATATAGATGGGTGATAACCTAGATTAACTTATAACTACATATATATAGTACTTCTTACTAACTTATCACGAAGGCGTAGCCACGGACGGAAGCTAGTTACGTATGTTTGGCTCCATATTTATCTCAATTGATTTGTCCTACGACTAGACCAAGCCTAAACCGAAAAATGTAATCTTCTTTTTAATGTCATTTTCTATTTACCTTGAGTCTATCAAATATTACTGTATCGATACAACTTATTAAGATGACCATAATATTATTTCAGGAATCTACAAAAGTACCATCAACAGCAGTATTAGCAGTGATCTCGAAGCATTTCCTCAAGATGCAGGAGGCTGACTCTCCCCTGGATAAGTTAGAGAATCTCCTGGCAGCTATATCAGTTATGTTCAATGCTGTAAGTATTGCCCTCTTATCTTAATTTCTTTTTGTCTCTCTGCAGTTTAATACGTCAACCATCTCAAATAGTTTTCAATAAAATTAAATACCTATTCACCTGTTTATTAAACCTACATTATCAGCCAATAAACAAAAGAGAAAAGGTCATTAATTTCTCATACGGAGAAGACTTGAGCCTTATTATTCACTACGCTCGCCCAAGGAGCATTGGCCATTTCAAACTTATAATTAGAAATTATGAATCTAGGTTTTCTCACGATGTTTTTCCTCTATGTAGAGGAAAAACATGTACGGATATCAGTGGTGTCTAAATAATCATAGAAAATACATAAAAGTCGGCAAAAGTCACATTGGTACTTACGAGATTTCGATCCCGAACTCTCATGCATGAGAGGCGGGCGCCTTAACCCACTTTAGCATACCTACTTTGACTTTACGCGACCTTTTAAATAAATAAAATGTAGTTGTAATTTTTAACTTTTAAAGATTTTAGTTCCGTCCTTTATTTTTGAACTTTTACTTTCTAGATTCGAGGTGAACGCAGTGTAGGAGCAGATGATCTGCTGCCAGTTTTGGCGTGGACTATTGCCAGGAGCCGGCTGGTCTGTGCTGAACTGGAAGCGGAGTTGATGGCTGGATTGCTACCAGCTGCTTTATTAGCCGGAGAAGGTGGCTACTATTTGACGGCTCTGTTTTCTGCCGTGGCTGTCTTGAAGAGACTTGCTCCTGAACCACAGCCAGATAGCACTACACCTGTAAGTTTTGTTTTAATATTTCCATCAACATTCAATAAAGATTCAGTGATCAAAGTAATGACATGCAGAAAAGGGTCTTCTTTGTCACTTGATTTCTTAAAATTATTACGTTTTGTTGATGTGATTGTTTTTTTAAATCAGAATGCCAGATTCCTGCTTCATATTGAGTACTTTTTTATAAATGTCAAAATCAACAGTTTTCTGCGGGCAATTTTATGTTGTGACGTCATGTTCTTTTGCGTCAAATTCAATAATAAATTCGTTGTTGTGTAGACCTTTGTGAGTTACTGTAGATCTTTGTGAGTAAAAGAATGGAATTAAGTTACTGCAGACCAAGAACTGATGACGAATTGTTGTGTTATTACAACTTTACTATTTAACCCCAGCAGTGGCGTCGTGGTTCAGTCGACAACAACAGAGACCAGCATTCAGTAGCAGTGGTGCGAGTTGTGTTACCGGACGAGTGTCGTGGGTCTATTCGGCGCGTTCCAGTGCCGTGCCGGCCCGGCGCACGCGCAAGAGACTTATGTCGAGCGCTTGCGCATGCCGCCGCCATCACCAATCCACAAGATTACGCTTTGTTTGCATTACATGATGGACATGGTATGTAGTGTAATTCTTTTTCACTTCATCATCGGCCTATAAGTGCCTACTGCTTAGCAAATGCCTCTTGTCATTCTCACACGGAGAAGGTTTGAGGATTAATCACCATGCTTGCTCAATGCGGGTTGGCGATTTCAAACTTTAATTGGAAATTATAAGTTTAGATTTCCTCACGATGTTTACCGTCATCGTATGTCAATAGTGTCTAAATAATCATAGAAAGTACATATGACTCGGCAAAAGTCAGTCGAAAAGGGACTTTACCCTCGGGGCCACCACGGCCTTTTTTTTCACTTATCAAATCTTCTAAGAATCTCATTTATCTTGTTCTACTATTGAAAAAGTCTAGATATTTCTTCCGTTTTTATGTTTTTTTTTACTTGCAATAAACTAGTGCTTGACTGCGATCCTACCTGATGGTAAGCAGTGATGCAATCGTTGATGGTATGGCGCACTCTTTATGCACTTGTAAAACTATAACAATATCATACTTAATTCGATTTTTTCACCAAAACCAGCTTAGCTGCTGGACTGCGGGTTCAAATTCAACTATTACACATTTTCTATCCTATATAGTTTCAAATTTTAATTTATTGTTCATGTTGCTACAGAGACTATGCTAAACGAGAATGACTGCCCACAAGAAGTGATGTCGGAAAAGACGGGACAGAACTTCACGCTGGCCTACAGAAGGATCGACGCTAAGATCGCCTGGCCACAGCAGGCATTACACTCTTACCCTTAGACTGCTTCCTACAATAATAACTAGTAATATGAAGCGACAGAAATATCTTAGCAATAACAAATAAACGTAATACTAAATTCAAAAATTAGAATCGTTAAACAAATCACGCTCAGAACCAACCACACAGTATGGGATCGAATTAAATACTATATTTTTGTCACCTAAACAATAATTTAAAAAAGTGATATTTTATTCAACTGATTTTTATAAATGCTAACATTTTCTAAGCTTACCTAACTTATAAGTACATTGCTTATAGGCAGTATTTTTTAAAGCATCGCTACTCAACGAGCATACTATTGTCAAGTAACTGTAGCTTTTTTACTCAATAATGTTTAAGTATCTAATTTTATAATTATTACTGTAATCTGACTGAACTGTAGGGACGTGACTCCCATTTTGTACATTTTGTATCGCGTGGGGAGCTCTCATTCGAAGAGAATGTGATGTATGGATAAAATGTTCACCATTTTTTTTTATTGTATTCGTATAGTACCTACAATCGCATCGAAGTTTCGCAGTTTGAACCTTCTGCCTTATAAAGGCAGGTGTTAATTTTCTTCAAGTGTGCGTTTGTGTATGTTCCTAAATTTCGTCGCGTAGGTACAACTAAATAAAACTCACCAAATTGTTGTTTTTAGTTTTATAAATTTTAAGTATTTCTTTAAACACTTTTCTAGTGCTAAAATTTACTTTTGAAGTATCTATACATACATATATTTAACTCTTACTAACTTGTTTATGAACTGTGATGTTAATCGTATTAATTAGTAATACTGTAAGGTTTTTGTATTAATTTTTGTATATTCGTAGAGCTGTTTCTTAATATAATTTATTTATATGTAACATTAAGATAATTAACCCCCAAACGTTAATATGATAAAGGGTAAATTATAGTGGATTTTGAGATCCATGAAAATGTATTTATTTTACATATGGATTATTTTGATCTTAACATTTTCTAATATCAATAAAAAAATGTAAATCTAAATTTGCCAGGTCACTAAAATTTACTCTTTATTCGACACGTATTCAGATGAAACTTTGCCTTACATTTTCGGTCTCGAACAATATTTTTGTAACTCTTATTTAAATACCAGAACAGTTTAAAGTATTGGCTACTGGAGAAATGGAATAACATATGAGAAATTGTGGAATACTTTTTAATACTGTCAATCGCAAAAAATAAGGTAATATTAGATGATACATATACAGCGTGTGTTAATCTTGTTATATGATTGATAATTGAACTGATGGTTCTTTAATAAACTGTACACTGCCAACCGCTTTTTGGACATCATTAAAATACAAATATATATTTCATAAATATGAAAACCAATTCAAGTCCCCAATCATGTGACTGTTATCGTGATAACAAAAAAAAATAACATTTCTCCAGAACCGATTCCATAAGACAAAACAAATAAAAGGCAACAATTGATTCTGAATATGTGACCGTCGTACGCGCAGTGTAAGGCGCGCCATTTTGTATTTATTACGTCACTCTTATTAACGTTAGTTGTAAACACGTATATTGTGTTTTGATAAAGTTTTCAGTCATATTGTGAAGGAGTAAATGAATTTTTACCAAATTTAAAATGTGTTGTTTTATTTTCTTTGGAAGTTTTCGTAGGCTTGTCCCCTCTATAATTTGTAGAAAGAACTTGAATTCATGTTTTAGTGCAAAAATAAAATACTTAAGAAAACATATTGATTATCGTTTTACTATTTAATCTAAGCTAATGTGACATAATATCATTAATTTATTTACATTGAAAACTTAAATTAGTTCTAAATAAATCAAGAATTGCAAAATATGATGCATTCATTATGCCTTTATCAAAAGTACTAGAACTTGTTTTAGCTAGTTTACAAGAGCAATTTCCAATGCTATATATTACATAGTCTATGAACCACGCCACATTAGATGGATTAAACAAATAAATCATCCATATTCATATCATATCATAAATCAAATGGGTTATATTTTGAGAAGATACATTCCAAGGACTAATGCCCTGAGCCTCATTGAGAGGAAGAGTCAGACAATTACTAAAAACCATTCTGTTCCTACTCCTGCTCGGAGCTGGGCCACATTAATACATAATTTCGTGTGAGAGACCTTACTGGCTCCCTTGTGGCACCACCACGTGCTAGAGAAACGCCTATAGATTTGTACTGTAGTCATAAGTACGACTAAACTAACTCGGGCACCATAGCAACAAAGATTCCCATCACTACAGTTACACATATCGACCACACAACTACTAACAGGCCTTACCAGTTACCTAACTACTTGGTAAAGTAAAGCGAAAAATACTGATAAATAGGTACTATAAGTTAACAATGTACCCACTAGATTATGAGAAACGCACAATGCAAGCCGATTATCCCAAAAAGTTACCCAAACCACATTGGGATAGAGTGCATTTGGAATACCCTGTAAGAAAATATCCAGGTACAGGAGTGTCCAGTGAAACTATTGGCCGAAAATGGGCAGACCAACCCGAAGTGCTAATGGGAAAGGTAAATTTATGTTCCAATGAAGCTGTCAATCAATCATTCACTGCGTTTTGCCTGAACCAAGAATAAGTAGAGAGTAAACTTCCTAGTATTCTTTTATAAATTACGCCAATAAACTTGTTAATTTGCATTTATACAGTTCTCTTTATTCCATTCTTATTAAGTATATGGGTCTTTTAGCTCAAATTAAGGTGAATTTTATTATTACCTAGTTAAAATTTCCGTTGCCTAAAACTTTTATCCTATTTAGAAAACACCAATCGAAGAGATCAAGGACTACTTTCGAGACTACAACATCACCAAACAGCTGACAAGGTCACAGTCTGCTAATCACTATGGCTTCAAACTTCCTGAAACGAAGAGATTCAACAAACACACGTCATGCTTGGAGAACGACTATGTTTATCCGCAGCCTAGAAGGGTAAAATACCTTTAATTCTATTTTAATTTTAAATATATCAAACTTCTCTAACAATTCTGGGTTATTTTTCAATTCAGATAATTGCTTCTTTTGCCCTCGAGAACGAGAAAGAGTGTCAGACTCTTACTGACTAACAACCACCCCGTCCCTTCTTCGCTAACTTGACTTTTCCCGCAATCCCGGCTGAACATCAGCCCTTTTAAGCCCTATTTGTAGAGTCTATTCTTCTTCTAGTTCTTCGAGTCGCTTGAGAAAGGCGTAAAGAGCATAACGCTCGGGTCTGATTGAGTCGAGCGGCGAACTACCCCTGCTCAGCATAAACAAAAAAGGATATTTTCAGTTAACGCTAATGAGATTATTATTATAAAGGCACATAGGTACTTAATTAAACTCCAGTCTGTCATACATTTCCTAATTTCATTGATGTTATCAGTCTTATCGTAATTAATTTGAATGTTTTTTGTATTTTCGCTACAATTTCACACAGTAGGTATATACTATCAAGTACCTTTCAAGAACAACCTGAAAAGAAATTGTTATTCTAGACTCAATTTTCTTTATTCGATATTGACTTTTATTGCAATACAAATTATTTAATTTCAGATCGAAGATAGAGTGCCACAATGCTCAGCGCATGGGACCACAGAAATGAGGAGTCGCTACCAGCCACCTATTACACCTCCACGGTTGATAACAGACAAGGACCAGTACAAACTCCCAACTAGACTGACATCAGATCCGGTAAGTGTTATGTAGATCGGCGAACGACGTGCAAACGAGTTACCCGATGGTAAGCAAGCAGTGCTGCCCATGGACACCCGCAACCACGGAGGGGTAAGGAGTGCGTTGCCGACCTTTTGGGGTATAGGGATGGGGAAGGGGAAGATTGGGATTCCGGTAACCTCACTCACACAGCGAAATACCACACTGAGGCTGATTGACGCCGGTTTTCTGTGAGGTCGTTGTATCACTCCGGTCGAGCAGACCCATTCGTGCCGAAGCATGGCTTACCCAAACTTAAAAAATTAAAGCCTGTGTTGTAAATTCTTTTCTTTTTATTTCAATTTGCCAGCATAAAATTTGAGATTCTCAATACCCACTTTTAACAGAATCTTAAAAGCCTTTGATATCCCAGATGGGGCGTTAGAGCCGTAATTGGCAAATGACCATCCTGATCATTCTGATGATAAAAGTGAAACTTTAATGCTATCATTCTCGTTGCGTTAGTGACCTGTTGCAAGGCACTCGTACTCACATAATTTACTTTAATAACAAGTTCTAATGAAGGTAATATATTTTATTATATACGTTATAATTATCAATTGCCTTCCAAATACCGATTCGCATCAGTGAATAAATATAATAGACTCAGAAATTACTCATACATAATTCGTTTGTAACTACCAATGTTGTTTTTATATACATTTTAATGCTTATATGGAAGAAAAACTAACTTGTTTGTATTGAATTGTCACTGAAACTCTCTCTGGGTCTCTGTCTACTTGACCGATTTGAAAAAGGCCTCTTTCACCGTTGAAGCTATGCTACCCCTGTCGTACACTGGCTAAAGTACGCTTGCAAGTAGTCTTTAATATACCGATTAAATGTGAGACTTTATCATCCTATTGTAAATTTTTAATAATTCCTCACTAGATGGAGTTTTTTACAATTTTTCAATTGTTAATTTTTTTGTCATTTTGCTTTTTATAGCTTCCTTTAGAACCTAGTTGGCGAACAGAACTAGAGCCTATTGATACGACTCACGAAGGTTTTGAGAAGTACTTGGACCCGTACCTGACAACTAGCCGACTTCACCATCGACCGTACACAGCTGATCAATTGCAGAGACAATCCTGCTCTAAGGATATTGTTACTTACTACACATTTAAGGATATACCTTGGGTAAGTTGTTTTTGGGTACGCATCACCTGATAATAAGACATCAGAAGTGTTACAAGTGGACTGCGGACTTCCAAAAGAACAAGAACTAGAACAAGAAAGGTGCTTGAAAGGCCTAAAACAAGTTAATAAGATCGATAGCAATTTGCTTTATAAAACATATTTTTTATGAATTATAAAATGTTTATATTATTAATTCAGTTTTGATCAACCTAAAGCCCAAAGTGAAGAAAATTATTGCCCAAAGCTATTGTAATCATTAGATAATAGTACAAATACCTATATTTATATAACGTGTATTTATATAACATACATTTACTTAATTCTGCAGACGAGAACTCCAAAACCCCAAACTGAATGGCGACTTCCAGTGAGCAGAGCAAAGTCTGTGTACGACAGAGAAAAGTTTAAGGAAGGTTTTAGAGAGATAAGGACACACAACAAACTACCGTGGGTGCCAGGGTAAGTAGATGGAAAGATAGGGTTTACTTTTCAATTTACTGTTAGAAAACAAGTTTCTTGTCAATATAGATTTACAAATGAGATGTCAGATTTGCCCTTTTTTTGCAGCGAGTCAAGTGACTTTTCTCGCCCAGGGTATGGCAAGAGAGAGTGTCAGACTCCTTCTGATAAAAATTCTCCTGTTCCTTCTGCTCCAAGCCGAGGTCGCAGAACCTAATAAAATTGTGCTTATTAGGCGTAAATGATAGGTCATTTTTGCAATGTGCAACTATTACGTTCAAGAGTGACCTACCATGATACAAACATTTGGAAAACAAAAAAAAAGCGACTTGAATAACCAAAATTGAATCGATATTTAAGCAGCTCTTGTACCAAACTAGCCATCCTTTACATTTCTGTAATAATTTACATTCTAGAACGTTCCGGACAGAAGCAAGAGACAACTACATACCTCCAACATTAAAACCAGTTTCTCAAATACACAACTACGAAGAAGAAGCAAGAAGTTTCTACGAGAAATCCGTTGCACATTTATCAACTAACATTTCAGAAGAATACGACGCTTTCCAAAATCAATATTCTACAGAGAATTCTGTTGTGGGTTCTGAAAGACCTATTTGTTCTGTACTCGATCAATATATCGAGAAAAATAAGAGGTTAGAGAGGAAAAGTGTGCAAATAGGATAATTCTGCCTTTAAATAAAGTTACCGTAGAACATGATTGTTCTTTTTTATCTCTCTTTTATTTAGAATATTGACAACCCTTTTCAGATCTTGATGTAGTTGTATTAGTTAGGTATTTTGCATTAGAAACAGAATATAGACAGAGACAGACTGTCTAAAACTTCACAAAGTAATTTGAAGTGTGAGTGAGCCATGCTTCGGCAGGAATGGGTGGGCTCGACCAGAGAGATACCATGGGCTTACAGAGAACCGGCGTCAAAAATCGAAGCGTTCTAGTTAGCCGTGTGAGTAAGCTTATTGGAGGTCCAATCCACCCCTCCTCTAATCCCTAAGTTTTAAAAAACGCTAATCCCCAAAAGGACAGCAACACTTGTAACTCCTCCGTTGTTGTGAGTGTCCATGGGCGAAGCTGATTGCTTCATCATCTTCAGACTGATTTCGTCCACTGCTGGACATAGGTCTCCCCATATTGCCCGTCATTGCTCTGGATGTTCAGCTCTTTTCATCCAACGACTGCCAGCCACCTTGCAAATATCAGCACTGATCGCTTACCTGATAGTAATCTGCAAGTGCATACTCATTTGCCATCTAATCACATAAAAATATCAGATCAGCCTTTTGGTTTTTATCTACATTCTAGTACTAAATAAATAAACTAAATATTATTTATCAAACTCAACTTATTTTATGGACGTAGTCATCATCATCAGCCTATAAGTGCCCACTGCTGAGCAAAAGCCTCTTCTCACACGGAGAAGGTTTGAGCATTAATCACCACGCTTGCTCAGTTGGCGATTTCAAACTTACAATTAGAAATAATAAGTCCAGGTTTCGAACCCACACTCTCATGCATGAGAAGCGGGCTCCTTAACCTCCAGGCCACCACGACATTTTACGGACGTAGTAACTATAGGTATCTACCGTAAACATAAAATAGGTCCATACTATTATTACCTGTATGCATGGGTTGCCATACAAATGATAGAAAAAAAATAATTATTTACCTTATTTAAAATGTAATTATATCATGCCTTTTTATTTATTTATTTTTTTATTTATTCACAAATTAGTTTGACATTATTAACTTACATCAAAAATCGCCAAACTGTAAGACAGTTTGTTGGCGATAGTGGCGCTCTTATGTTTTACAATATTGTTAATTATTACTGCTTAATATTATAGGTACATAAAAGATATCTTTAATTTATTTATTTTTATATCTAAGACAATACAATTAATTTTAATACTTATGTGTTAATATTTAAAAAATCCGTTTTCAGTCTTTTCTTTAGGGTTAATGTGCTTAGGGTATCACTGTTATTTCTTATGAACGCTATTTTTATTATAAATTATTGGGGTCAAATACTGCCTAGTTCTTTTTCCATAGTAATTTTTAACCTTTGGTATTACAAATTTACCTAATTTAATTTGCCTGAACATTTATGAGGCCCGAGTTTTCATCTAAGTACTTATTCAAGTAAAATGCCACAGAATTTACTAACCTACCTATTTCAATCAAACTTGGTAATATTGTTTAAGCGAGCAGTAGATGTGATTTTAAATATGTATTGAAAGAAAACAAATATCCCTCCATCTAAACTAATAAATTGACCTTCTCATTTTAGACTTTATTGTGTATGTGTTTTAAGTTATCTATTTTGTATGTAGGTAGATTCTATGTTTTTTAAGTTTGAAAGTGTGTATGCAAATCCGTAAATCCGTGCCACGTAAACGCACTTTAAGATAATGAAATGTTAAAACTCGAGCCCAGAGTACATACCTATGTCACGCCTAAACTACTGAACCGATTTGTGTGAAATTTGGTACGGGCATAGTTTGGAACTAGAAAAAAGACATAGGATAGTTTTTAAACCAAAAATCTGCAGATGTTAATATTTCACGCGGGCAGAAGCTAGTACTCGAAGCCATCCAAACAACAGCCAAGTCGTTTGAATGAATAACTATTTTGACCAGTAGGCTGCGATATATACATTACAGAGTACATAAGGGTACAGAAAGCAAAAACAAGCACTTATTTTTTTTTTTTATGTAATATCTCGGCAAACGAGCAGACGGATTACCTGATGGTAAGCAATCAGCGCCGCCCATGGACACTCGCAACGGAGGAGTTACGAGTGCGTTGCCTACCTTTTAGGGATTAGGGATTTGGAGATTTAGGGATTGAGGAGGGATTGGGGAAGGGGAAGGATTGGGCCCCCGGTAACCTCACTCACACGGCGAAACACAACGCAGTGGTTATTTCACGCCGGTTTTCTGTGAGGCCGTGGTATCACTCCGGTCGAGCCGACCCATTCGTGCCGAAGCATGGCTCTCCCACACTTATATTTTCCTACCGATCACTTATGCAAACACGTTATACCGGACTCGTACAAATCGTGATCAACTCTTAATAAACCTTTTTACAACGACCTTGTGGAACACAATGAGCTTAAAATGAAAACCTCTTTTAATAAACGTATGACAACGAATCTATGACTACGTGAATTTTGACAGTTCATTCACAACCATGACGTAAGTTAAGCCTAATTTGAAAACAAATTTTACAATAATAATTATTAAAGAATTGGTTTTAACCAAAGCAGGGGAAAATGCCTAACAAGATGTTGATGAATATTAAATGGAAATAGTATACTTTGTTATCGTAATAATATTGATTTCATACGCCGTATACTTGATTCAACCTTACTGGATCATGATATTGTCGGGTGCTATTATCTATTCTTTGTATACACAGCTGGAAAATTGGTGAGTTTTAAAAATAAGTTAGTACCTACATAAATAGTAACATTTTATTTTATCTATTCTATTTAATATAACTGTCCATTTACGGCATCGCCCACATGAAATTTTAAAATTTACCTCTCGAATTTATTTATCTATCCCAATATTAGACGATACAACGAAAATAAAAACTTTTTTTTTTGTATAATTTAGTCTTATTTTTAAGGTGCCAGATTTCTTTACAGTCTTCAATTCAATTTTTATGACCGATTATAATCACACGGTGAATCTTCTGATAAAACTAAGGAACAAGGTTTGCCCTAAAAAAATATTTCTGGGTAACTTATCAGCCATCATTTAGATGAAAGTCACTGTGTCGAACACTGTCCACTACTAATAGTAAATAGAAAACTGATTTCCTTGACCGTGAACGGCAAGAAAGATTCCTGAGCCTTTCCCGTTCCTTCTCTGACACCTCTTATACAAACAACATATCCATACAAAATAATGAATATCGGTGGTCCTAGCTCTATAATAATATCGTCACGAATGGACCGGCCGATTGGACTGATGTCACGGCCTCAGAGAATACCGACATTTAATAATGCTAGCGTTATTTTTCGCCGTCTGAGTGAGGTTACTGGACGCCAAATAATTTTCTCATGCCCCCAAATCTCCAACCTTAATTCCCGAACAACCTACGTAAAGCCGGGAACGCACTTGTAACTCCTTCGGTGTTGCGGGATTCCATGAGCACCGCACATTGCTTACTCACCATCAGCTAATGCGTCTGCTCGTTTACCAAACAGGTTTAACTGATATAAAAATAAAATAAGTTTATATTCTATTAAATAGGTCAAGTAAAAAATACTCTTGGTGTTTTTTTCTATATATTTGTTGATTCAATTAAAATTGATTCTGTGTTGATTTTTCTAACCATGTCCACCGTAAATTGCCAATTAGTTTGTATCGAATTGCTGCCAAGTAAACTATTATTTGCATAATAATGTAATTAGATGGTAAAACTCGAATTATTAAAGGAATAATAACAGAAGAAAAAGTAGTGAAAGAAATAATGAACAGGTAATCAACCATGATGAAAAACAATTAAGCTGTACTCTTAAATTACTGTAATGACTGAAAATACAAATAATATAAAATATTTAATTAAGAAACCAAATCAATTCGCAACAGCTTCTATACAACTTAGTTACAGACTTAGTGATATCTACGTCGTCTACCTCTTTAGTACTTTTATTAATCGTACAAGTTTATGGTACGAAAATTAAAAAACTTACTTAGTTCATCTAGTTTCGAGAGCTACCTGTTTGGGAAAAAACGTAAAAAATGTGTACAGCGCGTAGCTTTCCGAACGCGCCTCAAAAAGCCAATAAGACCACCACAGATGGAGTCCACCAAGGCCGATGTTCAGCCGGGGATGCGGTTCAAGCGCAATGAAGAACCGCGTCCTCGGCTTGGAGCAGGAGAAGGAATGGGGGGGGGGTTTAGTCAGTAAGAGCCTGACACCCCCTCTCGCCATACCCTGGGTGAGAAAAGTCGTATGACGACTTTTCCTTCTCAAGAAAAAAAAATATAAAAAGGGAACAGTCAGCAGCGGCGACCTCTCGCGCTCGGATTTGGTTTTTGCCACCGTATGGCGCGATAGATAATGGGAAGCCATCTCCTTCTTCCTGAATCAGTCATGCAGGCTAAGGAGGAAATTAAGTATGTGAGGTAATGATTCTCCTCACGTTCCAGCCGCTGCAGCTGCAGGAGACGCTCCGAGCGTCGGGGATTATGCAATGATCTCCGATCACAGGTTAGCGCGTTACGGCGAGCTATTGTTCGCCATTCCCTAAACCAGACCCAGAGCGTATTCAAAGGGCCATCAGACCACTACTGATGGAACTTGTTAGGCCTGGTTGAGGTTGTAAGTGCTAGTGCAATATTCGTGTACCAGCTTGAAAAAGCTGAAGAAACGGGGTGGTTCTGGAGTCTAACATTCCCTCACGGCCACACAGATCGAGAAAAAGGCATGGGATGTTGTTATTCCAACCTAAAAAAACGACTTCATTTGTGTGGTACAATTGGTTTTACTTCATCTGTATATATCACCCTACCTGTCTATCGTTGTCGTTCCGTACGTAAAAGCACATAGCAAATTGATCATATGTGAGTCAAGTTAGGTGCGGACCGGCCGCGAATTAACCGCAATTGTAACATTTACTGGTAAATATTTATCACAAATGTTACGTATACAGTAATCAAACAAGCCCGGTTCTATTTGTGACAAATTATCACCATTTTAAAGTACAAAATGTTACGGCTAAGTCAACTGGTGATTGTGTTCCTTGTCGCGCTGAAGCAGGTCACGAGTGATGCTCCGCAAAAGGTAAAAATATTTTTATTAAATGCACTACATTCGAATACATTTAGCCGTATCTAAACGGAGCCAATGCCGATTATTGGTATTTAATTCGTGAAATTACAATTTTTAATGCGCTTTACATTTTCTAAACAATAATGGTGTCGAAAAGAATTCGTGGCGAATTTATTTTTCTTTTTTTAAGTTAAACTGGTATTTAATAATTATTAAATACGTAAAAGTGAAATGGAAATGAGTTTTCGCGCTCTAGTAGCAGCAAACGTAATATGCACTTTAATAACAGCTGTGGAAACATTTTATTATAACAAGTATGTATATACCTACTTACTTAGCATTATTTTTCGTATTTTTTACTCTTTGCGTTTCTTTATTTGGATTCCTTTATATTAATTACATAAAGGCGCCCTTGTCCCACTAGTTACAACTCGCTAAATTACAGTAAGTCTGAATGTTCGTCAATGTGTGCGTGTAATCCTTGTCAAGTCTTTAATTTTTAAGACAGACAGACAGAAGCCCCAAAAAACTAACAACACGTCTTAAGATTTTAGTGTTATATTTAGGGCATGTTTCTATCTATACTATCTACACAGGTAGCATGTGTAAGATAAATTTGAATAAGGAACGTAATTTTTTTTACTATCTGTTACAACTTTATCGATGATTATATGAGAATTATGAAACATGCCTAGTTTATTCTAGAGTTAAAATGCCGTCTGGCATACAGCTGAAAATAGCTAGCTAACTCAGTTTCTAACTAGTTGAGAAAAGGTCATATTTTTCAGTATAATAATAATAAAGCAAGTAGTCTATTTTGTCTAAGTGCCAAGTGAACAAAAAAATGAATTGTGAAACTTATTGAAGAAGAGTTAAAATGGAGTTTCTTACTCGTTCTTTTCAATGGAAAAATTTAAAATATCTTCACAAAAGGACAGACCGACGGACTGATAACTTTTTGATGATATTTTTTTTGTTTGTCGTTCAAAACTACATATACTGGTTTATTAAAAAAAAGTAAAATCGTGTATTCAACTTTTTGCTGCTTGACAGTGATCCCAATGACAATGAGAACAAGAAAGTCTAAGAGACATATTATGAAACTTAGAAAAGATTACACTGCACTATGTAGAAACTCCAATAAAAAGCTGATCACTGATTTCTAAACAGCAATGTGAAATTGATTACAATCATCATTGTTTCGCAATAATTTTCTCCATTTAAATTTTGCTTATAATCGACCAATTATTTTTTATAACCAATAAATCCTGTAAGTGTTGATTATTCGCCTCCTTACGCGTATGAATCAACTCTTATAATTACAACAACTTTTCTATTATGTATTGTTTAAAATTGGACAGTTTTAAACAATATATAATAAAAAAACATATTTATTATATATTGTTAAAACAAGATACCTGACAATTTATTATAAAATATATATTGTCACCTCCGTAAATTTCATAGGATTTATAATAACTTCATCAATAAATGCTTGTTTAACTACCTATGTTTGTTATGTGCAACTAGTGTACCTACTACGTATATCTTCAATGCAATTTTTATTTTCTAATATTACATCAAAACCACATAACAAACTTTACAATTTTCCTGTTTATTTAATTATTATTATTTAAATGTTTTAGTAAATTACTTTATTCTTGAAATTCACTGTTGCGTTCGACAGCGAAGGTCAAACAATATATTTTTTATTGTTTATTTTATGAATTTTAACGTATTTTATGGAGTATCTTATATTATATGTCAATTTAAAAGGAGGACACAGAATGTTACCTTGTGGCACTCCAAAGTATTTTATATTTAAATTTAACAACCTGAACATTTTGTCAGGGTTATTATTTGCCAAAATTGAATTGGCTCGTAGGCAACGGTATTTAGGCGTTTACATTCAGTAATGTACTTGTGTATCTACTACATACCAGTAAGGTGAGGCCAACATCTCACGAATTCGTGAATCTGGAGCAGTGAAAGTTGTCCTGCACACAAGTTTTAAGTACTAATGTTTGTTTATATCACGCGTGTTATTGAAACCATACAAATATTATTTGTCACTATATTATTATCTATGAACACTACCCATAAGTGTGGAGAGTTATATACTTCACGGGCGAGCCTGAGCGGAATAATACCTTCGGCCTCACAGAAACCGCGTTGTGTTGCGGTTCACCGTGTGAGTCAGGTTACCGGAGACCTTATGCCCTCCCCCTATTTCTAATTAATTCCCCAAATCCTAAAACGTGTAATCTTTAAAAGGCCGGCAACGCACTCGTAACTTCTTTGTTATTGCGCGTGCGCATAGGCAACGGTTACTTACCATCAGGTGATGTTTGCCGTCATGTCCCATTAAAAAGTAATGTGATGTATCATTGTTTGGTGCTTCTGTCTTCTTTTTTAATCATAAATTAAAAATAGATAGACGAATCTATGAAAAACATCAAATTTTTTACTATTACTTTATCTTTAGAAATTGGAGCTTGTGGGTTCGTTAAGAATGACGTTACTAAATAATACGCCATCAGATCTCAAATATTTTTATTTCAAATTTACACTTAATTTCCAGGTAATTGTAACGATTTACTACGAGAGCCTGTGCCCAGACAGCAAGCGATTCATTTTGAACCAACTGGAACCATCTATCCAGACACTGGAGAATTATATAACCCTGGAATTTGTGCCTTTTGGAAAAGCTAGAGTAAGTATCTGTAGGTAACTAATTAATATTCAATACCACTTATTTTCATCTTTTACCAGTTCTGTTTTAAATTAGAGTTATTAAATCCATACTAATTTTATAATGTTCCAAAGAATATTTGTTAAAGTCTAAAAAGGTCCTCATATGGAAAAGATTTGAGCATAATTAACCTAACTTGCTCAAGATGGAATGGCTATTACAAACTTTGTATAACTAGAAACCATAATTAAAAAAATAATTATCAAACCACCACGATAGGCCTTTTTAAATGATAAAAAAACATAACAGTATTTAAAATCCGTCGACTAAAAGTATTAAGAAGTTTGGTTGAAATGAAAGCCAAATTATAAAAAAAAAAATATTTTGTTTTAAGTCTCAGAACATATTCATTAATCAGTTTTATTAGTTTTTGGAGTTTTAATTGTCTAGAACTGAAGTTTAAAATAAAAAAACTTACAGAGCATCAACCAAGGCCACAATGGTTTTCAATGTCAGCACGGCCCCAAAGAGTGTGCCGGCAATATGGTGCAGAGCTGCGCGCTGGATCTCATGCAGGAACGAAACGACTTGGAAAAGGTTCTATATGTCACTTGCGAAATGATGACTGAGGCGGGGACCACAAACAATATGAAGGTACTTTATAACAACAATTTGATAGGGTGATAATAGTTCGATAAATATTTTCTTCATTCTATCATATTACGGACGAAATTCCCTCACGAATTAACTCTTTACGATGTCATCTACGAGTTGCTATTTCGGATCTAAGTCTGATTTGTGTTTATGAGCTTTGTACTGACGATATAGGAGCAAATTATAAATAACCTGGGGCAATGATTTTGAATTCCATCCCCCCCTTTTATATGAACTGCTGGATAAAGGCCTTTTATAACAAGTTCGCCACAACCGCTGCACCTCCTGCGAGCGAAGATCTACAGTAAGTAACAATCATGAAAATACCGAACACTGCAGTTCGGCGTGCCGTTATGGATCCCGCAATGAAATAAATCAGAAGAAATTATAAGAGGATAAGGAAAGGCATAAGGCCTTAAAAGCATAAAGAGATTTGCGTACACGGGAGAAGCCCAGTTGTCAAAAAGAGTAGGTCAAATGATTAACCTGTATGTAACAGCTCCAGTAGTAAGTATGGCAAAAGCTAAACTTACGATACAAAATAATAAAAGCCATTGTCATACAAGCCAGTCCAATAGCACTCCAATTAGATCAATCTCCCATTTTCTTAAATATGGTATTTTATAAATATGTATAAACAAACAGTGTCATAAAAATAAAATATCTTTATGACACTGTCACCACCACTGACAACTTCTGATGGTTGATTTTATCGTTTTTTATTGTTTCAGTGCGTGAAAAGAGCTGGTCTCCGAGCGTATGATGTAAGATCATGCATATCCTCAGGTATAGGTACTAGTTTGCAGCTGCAAGCTGAACAAGCCACCAATCAAATCAGACCAAGGTTCATACCAACTGTAACTATCAACGGGGTAAGATAATAATATCATCTTTATGTAAATTGACTGCCTTGTTCACTTCTATAAACTTACTAGCTTATAGAAGTGCTTCTGTCACTGGTAATTAGATTGACTACCTACACTGCTCAACCTAGTTATCTACACTTCTCACCCTACACACTGCCCTACTCTACTCTACCTATCTTACACTACATACCCTACCTTACCTACGCTATCCTATCTGTCCTACAGTAACTATCCTACACTACATAATTATGCTACTTTACCTAGATACCCTACACTATCTACCCTACCTCACTTACCATACTCTACCCTACACTATCTACCCTGCCCTACCTATTCTACCCAACCCTATCTTAAGTTCTTCTCGCAGTGCAGCTCCTCCCTACCAATTTTAAATCAAATCAGTCAAATTAAAATCGGTTCAACCGTGAGTTATAAATAGTGTAACTAACATGACTTTCTTTTATATATTCCGACCGAAAACTCTAGCAGCCTTATTTCAAAACAAGATTTATCTTTAGTCCAGGTTCAAACCATTGAGTCGGGTTTTGAATTTTGAATCTTATTGTCATCTACCTTCAATTCGAAATACAAAAACTGGCTCAATGGTTTAGTCCTAGACTAAAGTAAAACCTTATTTTGTAATAAGGCCCTAGGAGTTTATTTCTGATTTAGGTACTACCATGTCAGCATAATTAACACAACAATTCTGTTCCAGGTTTTCGACCAACAGATACAAGATTCAGCGATGGTAGATCTCTACGGAACACTTTGTTCGGTGCTTGGAGAAGTTCCTCCTTGCGTTAACTTCAATGGAGGAGCGACGGAATACGCTTTCATTTGAACAGACAATAAATTGATATAATTCGTACCTTATCTATTTCTTGATTTATTTATTTAGAAAGAAAATAATAAAATAAATAGGTACTTACAAACGCAAAGCCTATTTCTTCAGAATCTCTTCCAGCAGGCCCGATATGGGAGAGTTTGAAAAAAGAAATGTAGACTGATTGTTTTTTTACTTCGGGTTTTGAAAATTTGGGGATCACAATTGGTGGGGGAATAGTGTTGGGCCTCCAGTACCCTCACTTACACAGCGCAATATAACTAAATACTAAATAAAAACAATTTGTTTTAGAATGATGATTAGGAAGAAGTAAGTTTGTTAGGTATTTTTAGTTTTGTTTATTCTATTTAATTTGTTGTTTTGTATTTTGTTTTTTTTTATGTGATAGGTCGGCAAACGAGCAAACTGATTACCTGATGGTAAGCAATCAGCGTCGCCCATGGACAACCGCAATGAGCGACGGAGGAGTTACGAGTGCGTTGTAGACCTTTTGGGGATTAGGGATTTGGAGATTTTGCGAAAGGGAACGGATTGGGGTAGGGTAAGGATTGGGCCTCCGGTAACCTCATTCACACGGCGAAACACAACTCTTTGGTTATTTCACGTCGCTCTTTTTGTGAGACTGTGATACTCCGTTCGAGCAGACCCATTCGTGCCGAAGCATGGCTCTCCCACACTTACTTGTTTCTAGTATTTAGTTATATTATTTATTCATTGAGTGAATTTTTATTTAAAAAAAAAAGAAATTATTCTAAAATATTTCATGTAGCAATGTATACCTACATAACTGTGTGAAATACCGAAGCCTTAAGTACCTACATAACGTCTAATTATAATTAAGAGAGCGCCTCTCGCCATCAAACGAATTAGTTTGGCGCGTTTAGTTGTGAGATACCACCAAATGTTGAAGCTGTGTGAATAAAACAATTAATTATTTAAAAAACGATGTGGTTGTTTCACACCAGTTTTTTGAAAGTTTGTGGTATCGCTCTGGTCGATCTGACCCTTTTGTGCCGAAGTCCTCAACACAAAGATTTCTTGTTAGCATTTCGTGTTCTTGTGGTAAATTCTTGATGATGACATCGACGAACGCAGTCTTGATTCATGGGTAGGAAAGCAATAGATTAATTAGGTACTTATTATCAGATTCCATAGTTGTCATAAAGAAATAAGTTATTATACTCGGAATTTTAATTCCATTCCAGATTTGACAATTTCAGTGTTGCAACGTTATGACACGTAATAAATAGTGACGTTGCGAAATTATTCGATATGGAAATCGAATATTTCTGAATCGATTCCTCTCGTTTATAAATTTAATCTTGTAAACAAAGTTTATCAGGAAATAAAATATTTCTGAACCGATAATTTAGTTTTGACAATTAATTAACGATCTGAGACTTTTCTTTTGTAATTGTGTGTGAAATTAATAAAAAATGTGATCATGAAGGAACGTGACAAATAAAACAGACATTTTATAAATTGTCGCCGTCATCGCTATCGCTATCGCCGTTACTCTATGTAACATTTATTATGAATTGTGTCTTTGATATTTATTGTCAATTAACATATCTAGCTTACTCATTTTTTCCTCTTCTTTGAAAACATGGGCTACACATTTAGACCATTCGGTAGCCGTAATTTTTTGAATGCCTTCCTGAAACTGATTCACTGATTGTTTATCGATTTTTGTGTTCATCACTACACTGTTATATGTGGTATCATTATTTCACAAAATGACAGTGGTCAATGTCAAATCAGGCATCGAATTAAAAGTCTGACTATAGGTAACTTAATACATTTTATTTAAAAAAGTTTTTTAGTACAACTCATCCTCTTTAGAGAAATTATTAGGCACTAAAAGATTTTGTGGACTGCATGTGTACATGTGTTGTAAAAGGACTTCTGAGAAAGTATCCCCTATTACATTTACTCAAAACATTGTATTCTCTAAACAATTCTTATAAACTTACTGATTGCCGAAAATATACATATAAACAGTAATTGAGGCTTATTGAAACACATGGTTTCAACCCGTGGTTTCAACAATATGGTAGTTTCCAACTAGTCAAATTCAATACTTTTATCCAAATGTCAAAAACGATACTTTTCTATGAAATTTGTATGAAAAACTGAGTTATCGTCATAGTACTTTTGCGTCAAATTGCTTACTTATTTCTTAATAATTAGTTAACAAATATCTAAAAATTTGTGTATCGATCGATCGATTCTATTGTATTGAAACGTCGAATTAATTTATTTTTGACCTAAGAAACTACCCAATTGCATCCATATTATTACTTATTTCTAAGGTTTATACGAAAATTTCGTCATTATTTTTATTTATTTTATATTTTCAGTAAAATTCTTTTAAATGTTTCACCTATGCAACACCGCGTTTTCGTGACTAGGCGACTGTTATTTTCTGGCTATTTGGGGGTTGGGCTACGATGGGTGTTATAGCCATCTAGAATGGGATTATGGCGTTAAGATGGCGAATTGTCCACGATCCATCGATAATAGTGAGCTATATTCGTGTACACACTGGGTACTCCTTCACTGCCACAGTTCTCTGAACCGAAGGATACGATGCCAACCTGAAATTAACAAGTAGAGTAATTATTAGTACTAATAATGGACTAACCTATAACTACATACATGGATTGCAAAATGTGTTGATGAGCGCATAACTCAAAAACGCCTGAACAGATTCAAACAATTCTACTTGTTTGTGTTTCTTGGAAACGAAATGGCTTTAGCATCCCAAAGCAATACGCAATCTTACTAATATTATAAAAATGCGAAAGTTACCATGTTTGAATGTTTGTTACTCAATCACGTCAAAATGACTGGACAGATCTGGATACAATTTGGCACACGTATAGGATACATTCCGGAATAGGATGTAAGCTTTTTTAGTTACACTTTTTAACAACATACCACGCGGGCGGAAGGTATTATGTAACTATATCACTTCATTACTATGCCACATTTTTGTCGTAGCTAATCTATTTGGCTTGATTGAATAATTTTGATCCAACAAACAAAATATGTATACAGTTTTGTTGGACATTTTGTATACAATAAAACTTAAAATAGTTTTTTTTTTGTTGTGAGGGGAAAATCATCAAATGACTTCTCCCGCCCAGGTCGGGCGGGAGGGAGTGTCAGACTCTTACTGACTGAAAACCCCCCTGTTCCTTCTCCTGCTCTGGGCCGCGGTCGCGGTGCCTCAAAAGTAGATACTATTTTAATAAATAAATATAAATGAATAAGTAACACCCTCACCTGCACATGACGGCCTTGTCTGAACAGAAGAAGAGGGGCCCCTCCGAAACCTGAGCAGGCATCCTTTCCCTCCTCCCCTCCAGCGCAGAGCTGGCCTTCATTCACTGGTACAGATTCTCCGAATATTCGCTCGCAGTTTTCTAGAGGAACCAGAGGCACTTCTAGCTGCTGTTGTCTGCTAACCTAAAGAGTAGGGTTGAAATAATTAGGTAAGTAAATTTTATAAATATATTAAAATTGCTCCTACTTTTATATTTTTGAATATTATTTTATTTTATGTAATGTAATTTTAGAGTAATTTTAATAAATATATGGAATAATAATAATAATATCTAATAATAATTAATTTTTTAGTGATAAACACTAAAATAATCAAAAAAGTGTTCACACGGCTTACTACTCGAAGAGAGATATTTTCAGTACATCTCTTATTTCTTTTCGATCCCTAAAGATACCTTTTCAATCATAACCGATTTGACCTTGACACTTTTTCCTAAGTGTGAACAAACAGATTCTCATCTAAGAGTTTTTATCTTTAGGGCCGAATAACGTATCATCAAATTACTTCTCACGCCTAAATGGGTCCAGAATGAGTGTCAGACTCTTACTGGCTAAAAACCATCTTGTTCATTGGGAGTTTTATAAGCGTTAAGCGTTATTCCTGATGCAAAATACCAAAAATGTATGTATCTCAATCACACACAAAATGATGACCGCAAATTATATCAAGCAATAGCTTCACAAAAACATCAAAATTAACCACAAAATCACGGGCAAGGGCGAAACAATTAGCCTGACATAACATCCTATGATTAGCCTGATGACTGATAGCCAGATTGTTATCATACACTCACCACGTTATTCTGCCCTGACAATTTCCCCCATCCGACAAGCGAAGCTCGTTCATTAATTACAATTTCCGGCTTATCATTCAAACAAATCGGCGCGGCTGTCACTGGAAAAAGCAAAAATGGTTGATATGGGAGACTGAGTTGAGCAGGAAGCGTGGGACTATCAATCTGTCAGTCAACAAACTGCTGCCAGGGACAATTTGAAGGTCAATGTTTTCAAAAGTAACGTAGGTACTCATTTAACATTGACTGCAAACTAATTAAAATATTTTTCAAACATCGTTCAACTTTGAATTATCAACATTACTGTGCATTGCAAATTTTTTAAAAGTCAACATAAACAACAAATAGTGTCTATCATTAGTATCATTTTAATATAATGTTAACAGTTATGGGTTTAAAAAGAGTCACATCATCGGCTTACAAGCTCACTGCTGAGCAAAGGCCTCTTCTCACATGGAGAAGGTTTGAGTATTAAGTAATCACCACGCTTGCTCAATGCGGGTTGGCGATTTCAAACTTATAATTAGAAATTATAAGTCCAGGGTTACTCTCGATGTTTTCCTTCACCTCATGTTAGTGGTGTCTAAATAATCATAGAAAGTACTCTATCTATCTACTATCGCACTCTGAAAAAGCCACATTGGTACTTGCCAGGCTTTGAACCCGGCCACCACACGGGGAAAAGAGAGCCAACTTAAAAAGACTTAATAATGTATACCTGAATATTTGATTTCTTCCTTCAGCATAATCAGTGCGATGTCATGCCTGAATATCTTCTGCTCATACCCTGGGTGGACGATGACATTCTCCACTTTGATGGCTTGAGTTGGAGGAGCGCAGAAATAGTCGTTGCAGTCAGGACTTCGACCTATATCCCATTCACCAACCACTACGGTTGATCTACGACAAAATAACAAAATAAAGTCTATATACTTAAATAAAAATATACTATCAAAATTACGTTTATAACTGTTAAATGACTGTTCCGAATTCATTTCACCAATTTCAAAATATTTTTATAGTATTTGCTTTCTATAGGACAATTGTAAAGAATCACCCGGGGATGCAGGTGCAAGTACAATTACGTATCGTGGCTTGACTCAGAGCAGCGATTCAGAACTCTAGAAGAAAAGGGGCGGTTTTTAGTCAGTAAGAGTCTGACACTCTCTCTCGCTCCGCGCAGGGTGGACAGGATTGGATGATTTTCCCCTTTAGGCTTGTAATGTATAGAAGTAAAATTCAATACCAGGTAAACTTATTAGGGTCGTTATTATTATCAAATTAATCAACGAGTTTAGTTTCACCTGTGTTATAAATAAGAAGAACTATTATGAATTTATAGGAATTATTCACGTTATATTAACAGAGGGCCTACCATGGCGTATTAAAGCGTGAATCTTCCGGATGAGAAAGAGGGATGATGAGGGATTCTGGCGAGAAAGAAGGATAGAGCTATAAAAGGTGTATAGCTCCATCCCTCTTTCTCGCCAGAACAGGTTGTACCCATCCTCTACTTCGGGGATAATAACATAATAAGAAAACAGAAGGCAAACATTTATCAAAGTAATTTAATTACCAGGAAGCAACAGATACGCTACATATTAATATTTTACACTTTATTCCTATCTACTTACAGTTTATATCCCTCTGGCTTGGCCAAAGCGCAGTGAGCAGCAGTCAATATAACCCGTTTTCCGATAATTGATCCGCTGCACGCAAACCTCACATTACCAGTCTCCTTGTCTAAATTAAATAAAAAAACAAATGAATTATTAAAATTATACAAGTACACCTAATAACAGATTAACATCAATCTATTTCCTTTTTTGTGCCGCTTCTAGATCATATTTAGGTATAATCTGTTTAACCTAATCGGTCAAAGGACTTAAATCATTCTGATTTTTTGTAAGATTTTGTGTTTTCATTCTGTTAATTCTGTTCTTCGCCGTTTGGTAAAAAAGATAAGCTTGTCAATCAGTTTTTACTGGGAAGACACAAAAACTAATTTGTATATACCTAATGTTAATGAAGTATCATAATCACCAAAAAGGATATAAACAAATCATCCCTCATGGTGTGCTGACTACCCATACTTATATACACATTTATTGTCCACCTAAAATGTCATATAAACACAAAGTCAGTGAGTTTGGAAAAATGGACGGATGAGTGAATCGGTCTGTAGATATTTGTTACTCTTTCAGGCAAAAACTACATAAATTATCTGAATGAATTAAAACACAAATATAGATTGTAGCCTGGAATATCTGGAATAATCCATAAACTGCGTTTTTCGCTGGTAATGTAGACAAAGTCACTTGTAGAAACTAGTATGTCCATGAAATAGAACTAGAAATTGATTTAAATTGGAAAATCGAACGACATGAAGCTGTTGTGGTATTGTTGAATGACAAGACGTTTCACGAGTTTGTTCTCGATTGTTAAATCTCAAGACGGTGTGTAGGTGCTCCTTAGAACTTAATGCATGGAGGGATTATATTTTTATTCTCACAATCAAGTGATGATTTTCCTTCCAGAAATCGTGAGATTGGACAAGGTCTAATTCATTTATTAATTTGTTACGTTTTTTCTCCACCAATTACTTCTTCCGAGTTATATAAGAAAAAACATATTGCGCCGACCCCAAATAAAACAGGACAAGGGCAGGAAGAAGATGATGATGATGATGATGGTAATTTCGACACCACTGACTTACTGTGAAGGAAAGCAGCGTGAGTAAACCTGGACATATAATTTAAAATTTTGATTTTTCAATTGCCAATATGCCTTGAGCGAGCCTGACGATTAATGCTTAAACCTTCGTCGTGTAAAAAGTGACCTTTGTTCAGCAGTGGGCACATACAGTCTGATGATGTGATGTGACAAAAATACATTTTAAGTTCTCTGGACACTTACGTGTGAATCCAATTCTCGCGGTCCACGGCTGACTTCCCAATCCATTGTAGTCGACTCCCCGCACCATACTCTGACCACATTTTTCAACTCCTTCCTGATACACCCTCCCGCAGTCACAAGAAGGACAGCATACATAGTCTTCATCGTCCGCATTGCCACATATTAATTGATTAAGGCGATGGAAATATCTGGAAAACAGTACAGTGTAATCGGACTTTAAGGATTTCGGATGATATTTACTTATAGCTTCAAGGCAGACTTAATGCATAGAGCATTCTTTAAGAGTCTGCACTTTGGGTAATGCAAAGAAAAATACGGATGGCAGGTTCAAGAAGCAAGCCAATAGACCACCACAGACGGGGCCCTAAAGGGCTGATGTTCAGCCGGGGTTGCGGGGTAAGCGCAATGAGGCACCGCGACCTCGGCCCAGAGCAGGAGAACGAACGGGGGCGTTTTCAGTCAGTAAGACTCTGACACTCCCTCCTGTTCGACCCTGGGCGGGAGAAGACATTCGATGACTTTCCCCTCACAAAAAAAAGGTGCAAGAAGCAAGCAGGAAATTTAATTAAACGTAAAAGGATCATATTATAGTAAATTATGTTTAATTTATAAGTAAAAAATAATATATTTGAACTTAATATTCATTATATTAATAAAACATTCTAGATCCCTCGCCTCTCATCCTCAAACATTCTAATCTTGAAGCCCCTAGATCCAAATGACCGACAACGCACTTGTAGCTCCATGGGCGTTTATTGTTACATGCTATTCAATCTAGAATAATAAATATTCACACTTGGTGTATTATACTATAAAGTACAATTTTACCTGTCTGAAGAGAAACACGAAAAGTCCATTAGGTCTTCCAACATTGGGCATGCACTGACAGGCATACATGTTGTGTTTTGTGGGCACGGACTCTGAAAATAACAAATACAATTTACTTTTTAGAGGGAAGACAGTAAAATGATAAATAAGATTGTATTGAAACTTTGCTTACTCTAATACTTAACGTTTCGTCGCCACTTTTGATCCCACCCATGCCAACGCTTAAACCTAAACCTGGAACGAAAATAAGGTATCATTATTATACATGAGAAATTGTACTTTTCTTTCATGTCACAAAACGATGGAGTTTCTTACTCATTCTTCTCTATTCGAAAGTTTTAGTTGGAATAAATGATTTTGGCTTTGACTTTGAAACAGTAACAAAAATTTTTGTAACGATATTTGTATCCGAATTAAAAGTTGAAGAGACACTAAATCCAGCCATCCATTGCTTCTAAAATTTATAAAGTAATTGTAAACCTATGAAAATTTAAGTCCCTATAGATATTTATTATTTCAAGTGAAGATTAAAAATTTCTACTAAATATAAAACTTTGTACTTCCAAAAGTGTGCGCAGTGTCCATGGATGGCGCCGATTGCTTACTATCAGGTAAAATGTCTGCTCGTTTACCGCCCTGATCCATAAAAAAACCCTGAATCCTTGCATTAACTGGACTTTGCATATGCTCTTCATCAAATCATTTTTCCTTAATTGACGTAATAACGAGTGCTACCATAATGCAGTGCTGGTAATACATGGGTAATACCAGTAACACGGCCTTGATGTAAAATGATGTTATCATTCTGTTTTATGCCCCGATCGAGGTTGTCTATTGTCATCAGTCCTGCAATTATCGGATGCATCATTCGGACAAATTATATGGCAGTGGCGGTGACGGGAAAAACAAAAATCTGTTTCTTTTTCTGTATTCAAAATGATTATTATTGAGTATTTACTTAATTTAGAATCTAGGTTGTTTTTACTGAGACTAAGTTCTAAGCCATTATTAAATATGTTACGGACATTTTATTCCATCCAAACCATGTATCCAGAATTATTTTTTATGGGTATTAGGCAATTAGGACCCGCAATACCAAAGAAGTAAAAACTGCGTTGCCAGCTTTTGGGGATTAGGGTTTCGAAGACCTAGGGAGAGACAGAAGGCGAGGAAGAATTGGGGGAAGCCCAATCCTCACTCACATGGTGAAACAGAACGCGATAGTTGTATCACATCGGTTTTCTGTGTGGCTGTGGTATCATCACTCTGGTAGAGCCGACCCATTTGTGCAGAAGCTTGGCTCTCCCACACTTACTTTTCTCTTCTTGCTCAACAATCATATTACCAGCTTCAATACAATTGACATGGGTTATTTTTGGGTTTATGAGAGCTAGACTAATGGGGAAAAAGCTATGTAAGCCTACATTATGTATTGTGTAAAAATCATAGTTGAACCGCCCTCTATTATATACGAACTTTTGTTGCAATATGTGAAATCTTTGTTACTAGTGAGCAATATTGGCCATCATTTATTTTGCCGCTTAGTAAAACTACAAATATTATGAAATCAAAGGTATTGTTAAGACTTTTAGAAATACAAACTAATATTATAAATGCGAAAGTAACTGTCTGTCTGTCTTTTCTTCACGCCTAAACTACAGAACCGATTTCTATGACATTTGGTACAGACATAGTTTGGCACTCGAGAAAGGACATAGGATAGCTTATATACCAAAAATCTGCAGGAAGTCACTATTCTCCGCGAACGGAGTCGAAATATAATAATAATGGCACTTACATTAATTTTGAGATTACATTTCTAGATTAAAAATATTCAGTCTGCATATTTTTATTAGATTTTCAAGAAATCAGTATGCTATTTAACTAAGAAAATAGCAGAACATACTACTCTTGCCCAGGGTGACGCGTGAGGGAGTGTCACACTCTGACTGACTAAAAACTCCACGTTCCTTATCCTACTTCAGGCTGAGGCAGCGCTACCTTGTTGCGGTTGCCCTGCAACCCCAGCTGAACATTGGCCCTATTAGGCCCCGTCTGGTAGTTTATTGGCTCGGGTTAGGTTCTGGTCGGACGCTACCGTTACTCGCCGTCAGCAGATCCAAAAACATAAATGTTGTGATGATAGTAAATTTGACTTAATTAAGGGCCACGCTATCGAAGGACTTGCCCATAACAGTATTCTTTCTGGTAGGATATGACTCAATGTTTCATCGGCACAACGTGCAATAGGCAGAAAGAAGTATACACGGAACTATCACACAGTTTGATTTTTATCGTCACACAGTAAGCTTTTTGTTGAAATAAATTCAGTCACAAATTAGATACGAGTGTAAAAAAAATAAAATTTGCTATTTTCCGTATTTGAAAGCGTACAAGGTACACTCGCCATTAGGCCTAGTTAACAGGTAAATGTGCTACTAATTCAATCCAATTATCATAATTTAGAGGTTTTATCGAAATACTTACAAAAAGTACGAACTATAAAACAATGGTTAGGTTTCAAACTCACTGTTACAAATGCGCGTTAACGCAATTAAAATTAGCATATAAATGAATTAAGGGTTCAAAAAGATAATATTTACTTCCACATTAGTAAAAAAATTGTAACAACAAAAGTATTTCGAGAAAATTCATAAAAATAATTTAAACTTAAAATAACATAATGATCATCATTTTATTACTTATACTGTGTAATATGCTAAAAATTACCAACGCATGTCAACAATAATCACATTGGATGTAGACAAGTCTTGCACTTTATATAAAAATAAACAAGAAAAAAGGAAAAAAACTTACTTCCGAACTGTGCATTACACAATTGAAAAACACACATAATCATAAACACACACACAGAGAAAGCCATTGTCATTATTGAAATTCAAACTACAAAAAAACAAAAGTCAATCGGTACGCAATCACAAAAAAAATCGTCACTAAAACATGTTAGAAAATACTTCATAAAATTTCAAAATTATGGTTCGAAATATGAATTATTATGATGGTCAGATGTCGTCAGCATCGTTGGATGGACCACAACAAAAATGACACGGTACAGAGAGTCCATTTCGTCCGGCACAAAACAGAGGTTGTGAATCTTTGGCAGCTAACCATTGTTCGCAAGTTAATGTTTAAATTCACAGTCATATTACATAACATTATTTAATAAATAGAAATGTTTGTAATCATGCTATGAGTCTAACAATATTAATCATCACTACTTCTATACTAATATTATAAAGTGGTTAAGTTTGTATGTTTGTATCTTTGTTTGTTTGTTTTTATCTTTGGAACGGCTGGTCGGATTGCCAAAATTCTTTCACTGATAGAAATCAATCGTTTAATTATTTATCTCATAAACACAGTTCGCTTTTAGTACTTGAATTTTTGTTATAATAGTTATATTATTTACCTAGGTATTCTAGGTGTACAACAATAATTCTACTTATAAATAAAATTTTACCAAAAGAAGGACATAATTTATTAACTGTTCGGGGGGGAGGGGGGTTATTCAGTAAGAGTGTGACACTCCCTCCCCCACAACCCAAATTTAAGAGGTTCAGGTTTATGTGGAAAAGCTTCTGGTTGGTTTACTAGTCCGCTTTTGTAACACAACCACAAAGAGTAGGTACATACGTATCATTTTAACAGTGAATATTTCTTTAATTTGCCTTACTTTCTTGATTTAGAAATTTCTTGTAGAAAATGTAATGACCTTATCTAATATATAAAATTCTCGTGTCACAGTTTTCGTTGCCATACTCCTCCAAAACGGCTTACCGATTTTGATGAATTCTTTTCTGCTTATCCGGTATCTATTTTTCATCCCCTAAATGTTAAGGGTAAGTCCACCAAAAATACAAACAATCCTTAATTTTCACCCTTCTACGATCAACTCTTATTTTTTAACTAGCCAAAAACGGGTCAGCTAGTAATGTTATAAGTTTTGTCAATTCTATAAATGACTGTTGACGACCCATGGATGTGTCATGATTCACCGGTAGATACAAATGCGTGCTACGGGCTGTTGCAGTCATTTTTACACCTATTCATGGATATTAAAACACTCACCGCAAAAAATATTCATTGTTTTTTTTTATAAAATAGATTGGCTATATAGTTTTTATGATCGGTACATATTTTTAGATGTTTTAATTTTTGTAATATTGAATCGATAGTGACGAGTTCTCTAACGAATGCTTGATTAAGATTTTTTAATTAACGCATTTTTCTGCTCCATTAGTAAGCAGGAAGAATAAGTTGCAAAAAAAAAAATAGTTGGATTCCTACAATATTGAAACTCAAATAAAGTTTTGAGAGTTTCATGGTTTCGAAGAAGTAAGTACCTACCTATATCTTGATGGATATTATTGTACCATCCTAATAGATACCCATTAATATCACCATGGATATTATTTAACATCGCAAATAGATACTCATTAGGGAAAATATCCTATTACTTTAACAAGATTTTAATTAAAAAAACAGTTATTCACATGCGAACTATTAAACCATGATAAAATCTACAAAGGTGTGGAGTCGTATTCAGTTCGCAAGTCGTGGGGCGAACGAAGCGTGTCAGCTTAATCTAAGCAAAAATCTGTTTTTTTTTTTACTTTTATTGTAATACGTTTTTGTGTAGCACGGTGTCGTTCACATCATTGGTTTACGGACATTGGACTCATAACAATGTCTTCTTTCCCAGAAATAGACGATCAGATTATAACTGGATCTGTTTCGAAGTTACACTTTTTATGAGACGGATTCTTAATTAAAATAAGTATTTTATTTGTGTTATTTTTCATGTAGGTATTGTCAATTCAATTTCAAATGTGAATCTAATTCTGGACGAAATGGTTTTATTCAATTTGAAATATTTAATCTCCAAATCTGATTGCGACTATCGCCTTATCCATACAACTGTAATAATCTTTAAAAGCTGACTTTAAAAAAAACCTGCAATGCTTACTTAAACTGTTATTTACCAACTATTTTTAAGGAAAACAATAATTGTAAAAGACTTTTTGTCCAAATAAATCCATCAAATTACTTTTCCTGCCCTAAGCAGAGCAAAAAGGAGTGCCAGACGTAAAAAAACACGCCGTTTCTTCTCCTTCTTTAAGTCTGGGCCAAGGTACGATAAATTGTGGTTCCCAATTAGTTAAGACTGGGTTCTGAAACAATAAAATAAAGTTTCCGAGTATGGCAAATATATTAAAATTAGTAGTCTTCAACGGGCCTCTGCGAGTTGGCTTCGGCTCCTCGTACGCCTTCCAAAGGTCCGGGACCCTGTGGTCCCGTGAAAAGAAAGAATAATACAAACTTCTAAAAAATTGAAATAGGGATGCATCAAAATGTTATTGTTTCCCTTAGAAAACAAGAACTGGAGCAAAACCTGCAGTTCTTAGCACTAGGTATTGTAAGGATGTCTGGCAAAACAAAGAGCTGCACGGACGCTGTCATCGGGCCACGTTTCGGCAACTTTTGAAAAACCAGATTGGTTTGTCTGTGCAATGTGCAAATTAACAATTACCGAAGATTATGAAAGATGGCTGACATTTATAGGGGAATGATTGTTTTATAAAATAAAATTAAAATTGGTAAAATCAAATAAAAATGTAAATAAACAATATAAGAGTCGTAGTCTTCGAAAAACATCCTTACAACAAAATTCCACAACGAGTCTACCGCATACAATAAATTTATAGTACCTACTTGAGCAGCTGTCCACTCCTATCCGCTAAACAACGCAGGTCATAACCCGTTGGTTCACACCGTGACACCAACATTGTTTAAAGCACGTTAAAAATGACTTCCTAATCAGATAATGGAACGATTTCATACAATTAACCAGCATGAATTTTGGAAATGGCACCACCATTGTGAACTGACCTTTAATGAATGACACGAGACTGTTTACCGTATAATTGCCATGTTTTTTGTAACGGGTAGTGTTTTAATAGCCGCATATCCCGGTTAATATAATAGTACTATATACAATACACATTAAAATAGAACCTGAGAAACATGAAGTTTTAATATGTTTATTACGGTTCAAGGACACAGTTTCTCCTTGAGCCAGGGTTCCGGAGCAAGCGCAATAATGTGCTGCGATCCCGACCCGGAGCTGAAGGGTGGTTTTTAGTCAGTTAGAGTCTGACACTCTCTCTCACCCTACCCCAGAAGTCATTGGATAATTTCCTCCCTCGAAAAAAACACGTAGTTTCTCATCGATTGCTTGGGAGACCGAAGCATGGTTGTAGAAACAACCAGAATGATCAATAATGGTTCAAAACTGAACATAAAATTAAAAGTCATAGGATGCTGTTATATTGCACTTACTTCATAGCTTGATTAAAATGTGGTGTAAATACATACACCTAAAATTCAAAAATATGAGCCGTAATCACTTTGAATGAAAGATAACGAAGCAAGACTGCAAACTTCATAGACCTTTATTCAATTAATATTTTACAGAACTTTACAAAGAAAAAAACAGACAATAGAATGAATGTCAATTTTGAATTAATGTCATTGTTAACATAGAAAAATGGCATAATAAAAAGCAATTCTTCGATAGAATATTTCATGGACCAAGCATAATGTTTGTATAGTTAAATTCTTATTATATGAAGTCTGCAGAAGCATCAAATTAGCGAATTATATTTCAGATGACTACAACATCATTATAGAAATCTCCGTTAAAAGCTCAAAGCTAAAATGACAGACACACGAGATCATCATCGGCCATCCACTGTATTTTCAACCGACACAATGAAATTAACCAGTAGCGCTTCTGAACAAAATGTTTATTTTACATACGTGTGTCTTGTCAACGATATCAAACCAAGTGGAAATCTAGCAACCAACTATAAAACTTGCGAAAAATTATCTGCTCACGCTGTTAATGTTTCTTCATCCCTGAGTGCAGAGGTAGGTTCTCTATACATATTCTAACCATTTAGCTTACAATTTTGTGATAAATAATATTATAATGTTCTTTGATATTTAGGCAAATCAAGAAGAGCAAACAATTCAAGTAGAAAGATCAAAAGCACTTCATGAACTATTGAATATTGAATCTTATAAGAAAACCGATTTAGGGGAAGAAATCGGAGAACATAACGACGATGAATCAACCAAAGTATATGTCAACAAGTTTCTATATTATTTCTTAGTGATTTCTGTATTATGTTTTACATTTCTACAATAAGTGACTTTGTACTAGCAACCAACTACATCAGGAGAAGATAACGAGCAAACTGAGAACGATGAAAATAATTTCCTCCCCTGCGACAACCCAAATGTTTTAAAACTAACGAAAATGAAGTGGCTCTCTGAAGATCAGGAGGACGGTCACAATTCTAGGTTTGTATCTGTAAAAACTATAATAAGTCATGGCTACTTTTATCAATATACACTAGCATCATATCGTTCCAGAGATGTGAACGCTCTAACAGGTGCAAAATTGTACACAAAAACGAAAAGAAGAGCCTAATATTATTTGGAAGAGGATAAAAGTAGGTAATTTTGATAGCTAAATATAATAATGAATTGAGATGTCGCTAATTATATTGTTATTCATGTTTTCAATACACCAATTTCTTCCATATTCTTCTTCATGATCACCAATAGCAAAAAAGTACTCTAAAATCCTCCCCATATTGTTCCTTATCTAATAACAAAATTCTTAAGTATTAACAAAAAATCAACATATATTAATGTTTGTTTCAGTTCGCCATCGGTATCGCCTGTTACATCAAGTTCTAACTGCAGTAAAATTTCTGACGAAGACCTCAAAGAAAGAAGTGAAATGGAAGATAAATATTTGTCGACCATACTGCGGTTAGATAAAGAACACAATCTGTTTGGATTGTCTAATATAGCCATCGTTGGTGCCAAGCCATCCAAGATTAAACGTAAGGACGGTGAAAAGGCTGTGTTCCACCAAACAGCTATAGTACAACTGTGCTGTGGCAAAAGTTGCTGCAAGAATAAGGTGGGTCAAAATTCTTTAAACGAGGCAAAATATGAACACGCGTAACTTTATAGACTTTAGCATACTGATCGTCTATACTAAATGTTGAAGTTACTTGTAAATTGAAGCTTTTGCTATATACCTATATAAGCTTTATCTGGTTCACGCAACTGTCCTTTGACTGATTTAATAGAATCAAGTAATTTTTCTTTGCATCTAAATGTTTTAGACAATAAGTTGAAATAATTTCCAAGTTTTTGTAACTTGGAAATTATTTCAACTTGTCTTACCAAATATATTTTCTCTCAATAATAATTAATAAGATGAAACATAATATATCTTTTTTTCGTTTTATAGAGTAACACCGATTTGCCATCATCTCTAAAGGTAACATTTTGCATTAAGTTATTTGAATCTTACTTTAATTCCGACTTTATTCTTATTTTAATTTTAATATTTCAGTGTGGCGGTGGATGTCGGGGCTGCTGCATTGATCCATACTGCCCAATATGCATGTCTCCTTGTAGCCAAGTTTGCTTGGTAAATAATGTATATTTTGTCATCTCTTTTTATGGAATAAGTCGGCAAACCAGCAGACGGATTACCTGATGGTAAGCACGCCACTCATGGCCCGCAACACCAAAGGAGTTATGAGTGCGTTGCCGGCCTTTTGGGGATAAGCGTTGCGGATATTTAAGGATTGGGAAGGGATAGGGGAGATATTTAAGGATTGGGCCTCCGGTAACCTCTCTCACACGGCAAAACACAACGCTATAGTTTTTTCGCGCCGGTTTTTTGTACATTCGTGCCAAAGAATGGCTCTCCCACACTTATCTTCTTATGATTTACGTTCAATCATTATACTCTTTCTTTTCTTTCAGGATGAACCATCTTGTATAACATTGCCATTGGTAAGATAATCGAGTTTAAATTTGGTCATGTGATTGGTCTTATTCCTTTTATTACAATATAATTCTTTACTTTCAGTGTGGCACTTGTCCAAGAGGAAGGTGTTCTTGCAAGGTTAGTATTTTTTAATCCACGACAAAATATTAGTCTACAAAGTTTTATTCTAATTCTATTCTTTTACCTACAGTACTCACGGCCGAGCTCTAGATGCACGTTGGATTGCAATAACTGTTATGGTTTAAAGGTAATAATTACAAGCGGATAAATTATTACTCGTTAAATATTGATCCTACTGTATTTAAAATTAAGATTGAAAATTGCAGATCAAACTAAATCGTAAACCGAAATTCGACGAACCAGTTTTAGAATTAACCCCACGTTCCAGTTGTATTTTGCAAAAGGTTAGTTTTATTACTTAGTAACTTAGAATATGGACTATCTTGAGATAATATGTATATTAAGCAATCGTATTGAAAATAATATACTCACGTAAATTCACTGAAAAAATCTCCGAAGTTTCCATGGCAAAAGTAACCTCGAATGTAAAGAGTTCAAATATTCAAACATGGAAGGCGGGAAATAATGACTTACTTATGTTAATAATTTGAGAAAAGCAAGTCGGTTGCGCAACGTCATAAGGGTCTCGTTGTGACTTGAAACTTTCTCGTTAATTGACGTGACTAAGTCGTTATTTTCAATAAACATCTATTTTAAACATTTTTTATTATGACAATGGCAACAGTTGTTCATTAAAGTTTTTTTTCAGCCAATGGCTGCTAGGTCCTGCCACCATCTACCGCAATGCATCCCACCGTCTTCTTGCTTTCCTTACCTGATGCCGTGCTTCTGGCCAGCCCGACCTTCTGCTCCTTGTGCCACCCCAACTCATTGCTTCCATAATCCTCCGTGTCCACCTGCCAGAAAACGACCGAGAGTTCCCGTACCTTCTGAATACATTTGCCCTACGGTAAGTCCAACTATTCAACAGATAAAGTGCATTTAACAAACGACGTAGAAGTGAAATAGTGATTATATCATTAATAATTGGCTACTTCAATTTTAGACTTGATAAAAATTATCTTTTGCAGAAATGTGTGGATGAAGCCAACAAGACCAAATGCCCTAATGATCAATGCCCAGGGGTAAGTAAAGATGGAGGCTTGATAGATACTTGTTTTGTTCATTCCAATATTTATATTTAATTTTCTTTTCTAGAACAATCCCCTAATGAGAGCAATTATTGAAAAGAGGTTTGAAGAAAAGAAAGAAATTGCGAAATAATTGGAAAACATTCCTGAATAAGTATGCGGAAGGTTAGTTGTTGAATTTAAGTTATAAATATTTAATTTTTATCACAAACTAAATCCCGTGCATTTTCCAGAACGACAAATTTGCTCAGAAAACTATAACCAGCTTCATAATGCGATGTGTGTAACAAAAAGAAGAATAATAAAAGAACTCGTAAGTACATAGGTAACTTCGATTCATAAATATTTATAGATATCCAAAGACATCTTAAGTACATAGGTACCTTCGATGCCTTTATATTTATAGCTATCCAGAAATCTTTAACTTAGCAGTGGTAATTATGTTTTGTTTTTTAAACAATAATTCATTATAATATTTAACCGTGCTTACGTATTTGTTTGGGGAGTAACACGAGCTAGGAGCTTGTATTCATGAGCACCATTGACCGCCGCGTGTGTCGCGCAATGCTTCCCATAAATATGAACTCCTGGCCTGGCTTGGAACTAGTAAAATAGTTACGTTAAACATTATGAATTTCCAGCCAGGGTGGGTACCGTACAGTAATGTTGTGATTTTAGCGTTTAAACCCGTATTTTAGCGTTTTTCTGTCTTTCTCTTGACGTCGTTCATTTACGTAGTACAACCATTTTTCGTTGTCAGTTTTTATCTGTTATTTTTTTTTATTTAATACCATGTTACCTTTTTAATTTGAACTTTAATAACATATGTAATTACTTATTCTTTTCTGTTTATTTACAGCTTGCGAAACATTCACTACAACTCTCAAATTCAACAACGAGCTGCCAAGTCTTCTTCTCAAATTAAATAAAAAGCTATGGTGCTATAAAAAGAAAATAAATGCATAGTATTCAGATTTGTAAAATCTTTTATTTGTCAAAGTTTCATTCACAGGTTTCATTAATAATCGCTTGACACGATAAATCTTTTGACGCATTTTTTATGTGGTGGTAAGTTGTGGGCAAATTGGTCGATTACTGTGTAAGGGGGGGTTCCTTGAGCGATGTGGCAATAGTCACTGCAGTACATGAACGGTGCAATGTTGGTCTGGTAAGGATTCGGAGGGAATGGAGCCAGGTCAAACACTTCTCCGTGATCCCAAGATGCGAGGGATGATATCGCAAACGGCGTTTTGTACTTCTTCATTGTTTCGGATATAAATGCTCTGTTCATAAAAAAAAACATTACTAGCAGATAACGGTAACTGGGTAAATCAAACTTGAGGTCAAAAGATTAAAAAACTACTCAAAACATGATACTTAAAATGAAATTCAAAAGCGAATTAAAAATTACTGGAGCAAAACAAAATATTTTCTCCAGAAATCAATAGAAAAACAAATGAACTCCTTACCCTTTTAAATTCTTCACTGGATTATGACTAGCAGATACCTCTTTGTATTCTTTTTTGACATGAATCCTATCATACACGCCTCTATGGACCTTTGCCGTCAATGGCATCCATATTTCCTTGTGTCTTGGCCCAAAACCTTTGACCTACACAATTAGAGTAAAGAAAAACTCTATTTTACTGTTAGAGGATTTTGCTTAAGGTGCACCCACACAGCAGTTATATAACGTTATACAACATTGTGACATTTATAACAGCGTGTAACAATACTCTACAACATGTTAAGAAATGTTATATGTTATAAACGCTCCCAAATTAATTGAACTCGTTATATAACATCGTATAACATTATGTTCAATCTGTTCGGGTTTGTCTTTCGAGGAAGGTGGTAGTGAACCAATAATGGAGAAAGTGCTGATAGGTTTGGCGTTTATTTTTTGTTTGAAAAAAAATAAGAAAAGGCCCGCGAAGGTCCCGCTGAGGCTCTGATGATGTTATACAACAAAAGTTATATTTTGTAATATCATATTCTAATCAGTTGTAAAACATTTTGTTAAATGAAGTTGTATAACATCAATAACAATTTATAATAATTTGTAACAATTTATAACTTTTGTTATAATTTGTTTAAAAAAGTCAGTCTCTAACGTTATATAACTGCTGTGTGGGAGCACCTTTAGTTAGATATGACTATACTTTTGTCACATTCATCATTTTATTAAAATTGTTCGCGTGGCATAGTGATTCCTGCAGATTCTTGGTACCTATAAAAACTATCCTATGTCCTTTCTCGAGTTCCAAACTATGTCTGTACCAACTTCAGTAGTTTAGGCTTGAAGAAAAGACATACAGACAGGCAGAGTTACTTTCGCATTTACAATATTATTTTGGACTAGCTGACACGGCAAACTTAGTTACGCCCAATTTTTTAACTAAAGTTTTCTGACTTTTTAAATGTCCCTCTTCTACGAATATCTCAAGACAATAATAGTCCAAATCGGACCAGTAGTTCTCCAGATTTAATGAGACTAAGGAATAGCATTTCATTTTTATATATTAGATGTATTATATATCAGGAGTACCTTTGGAGTACTAGATTCTGAATAGAAGGTGATGTGATCTTTGGCTCCAATTCCATACTGGTCATCAGGAGTAAACGGTCTGTGGTAAGTTCTGTAAGTCGACACGTAGGGGTCAAGTAACTTCCTATAACCTCCTTTAGCATCATCAAATATTACTGGAGTTTCGTTTCTTCCAGCTGCTACGGCCTAAAATAATAAATTTAAAGTATTTGTGATACCTTATACATTAGTACTGCGGATAATCCCGCATATTGGATGATTTTTATTACTCGATGATGTTGATGAAATATTTAATAGGTATCTATAATTGGAACAGAAATGTTCACCCATCTTATAAAAAGTTACAATTATGGTTCATTATTCATCTGAAATAATGGATAAATAAGCTAGTCTTGGGGGATCGGAGCATAGAGCGCCTGCTTCTCATACATTAGGGTTCAAAACATGGCAAGTTCCATAGTAAGTTTTTCCGAGTTATATGTACTTTCTATGACATTTAGAGACAGATTTTTTAATACACATATCTCGATTAAGATATACTATATTTACACACCACTAACAAAAAGTGAAGTAAAACATCGTATAGAAACCGAAACAATTTCTAATTATAAGTTTGAAGCGTGGTAATTACCGCTCAAATCTCCTCGGTGTGAGAAGGCACCTTGCTCAGCAGTGGGTTTTTAAAGGCTTAAGATAATGATGAAAATTATGAAGTCATTATTTTTAAACTTACATCAAAAATAAATTCCGGGTCAGGAGATCTAACATCGGTGTCTGGTGGAGCCAATGGCGATTTTGTCAGACCCCTAAAGTTGTCTTTCATTTCTGATATCATTGTCGGTTGTATTATATTTTTGGCTTGTAGCTGAAAAACGAAACATTATTAAGTGTGCAAAACGAATATTAAAATTTTTTAATAACTAACTTCAGTCTGGAAATTATACTGCTAAGATTTTTAAGAATTACATTCCAAATTGGAACAAGTCTTTGAAGTTTTCAGGTTAATTATGTGATCGATTACTTTATAAATACTTATTTATTAGATGAAACAGATAATATTCACCCGTTTTTCTACTCCAGTCATAAAGCAAACTCTTTTACAGTTGATAGCGCAGTCGGATCTCTCCATAGCTTTATTAGGGTTTGGCTTCACACAGTATTCGCCCGTCGTCGTTTTATAAGACTCCTTTTCAACGACCATGTCGCGGCCTGTGGCTCGTTTTGGAAGAGGCGTTGTGATTTTCTAAAAATATTGAAAGAGGGTACAATTTAAAAAAAAAAATCTTTGCCCCACACTAGGATTTTGTCCTGTGTCGTGGGTGCGTTAACAAACAAACAAATTCACATACACATCACACCCAGACCCAGAACAACAATTTGTAGATCACACAAAGAGTTGTTCCGTACGGGAATCGAACCCACGACACGTTGCACGGCAGCCAGTTGCCCAGCCACCAAACCAACCGTGCAGTCAATTAATTTTATTTTGCTTAGTGTGTTTTACCATTTTCCGCCGAGTTACCACATGTAGGTACTGTATATGTTCTGTGTAGTAGTCTCTGATCAGATGCCTTTGAAAAAACAGCAAAATGTTACTTTTTAAAATTTGTAATGTGCAGGCATTTGGCCGCTATAATGCCTGGTAGTGAGTGATGATGCGATCTACAATGGAGCACGCCTACCCATAAGCAACCTATTCACACTTGATTGAAGGATACAAACATAACTGCTTATATTACTAACGCACACATATCTTCTATAAGTAACAAACACTGTTCAGTGTCTGCGCCCAAGATACAGGCATTACCTAGTTCGGGGCTAATGATAAAATAATGTGTAAGTAATATTTTGGAAATAAGCATTTCAATTCCACGGAATGTACTGTAACCAGAAACATCTATAGAATTATACAGAAGACTTAGAAAAGATAATGTTAAAAAGACTTATTTACTTACACAATCCAAGCTATGTGATATAGCAGGTATTTGCCTAAGCCCAATGCTTGTGGAAGTTCTTGTCTCAGTATTGGAAAGCCGCAAAGGAATATTAAACTGTACATTACCCCAAGTATTAACATTTTGTATTAAAAGATCGTTCAAAGCGAGCGGTTGTTGAGGTTTAGATTGTGCCATTTTAAAAGAAATATAAAATAATAGCAAAACTAACTATATACTAAAACGTAAATAAATAAAGTAGAACAATATATTCCGTCCTTATTGACAAGCCGAATGTTGACGTTGCTTTTTTTATTAATGTCACAACGGTTAATGCATTGAGCCTCATTGCTGGTACAAATGAAGTTGATCATAAAGATAAAAGTGTAGTTAGTCAATCCTAGGAACGGACAGAAAAAATCTACTTTTTGTCATTTCTCTATAGTATTTTATACTTTTATTTTCTGAATGAGTCCAAATTCTGTATTACACCAGCTACATCAGCTCTTTTTCAATGTTATACAATGAGTTCCACGCAACCTGTATTTTATTGGAAAATCCTCATGTTAATCTTTCGCACAGGGCGAAGCACGGAGTAAGTCTTACTCCGTGGGGCGAAGCGCAGCGGGAGAGAGTGTCTGACTTTTATTGACTAAGAACAACCCCGTTTGTGCTCCTGCTCCAGGCCGAGGCCACGATATGTTATTGCGCTTGCCTCGCATCCCTACCTGATCGCCCAGGTAAAATAAAACTAGTAGGTACCATCAAAATTTTGGTATTTATTCCACAAAATCAATAAACAACAAATGAATTCGCAAAATTTTAAAAAATCATACGAGATACACGTCTCTTAGCCTTCTTTAACATAAATGGATTATTTTCCAGGTCATAATCGTTGTGCCATGCTCTACCCGGTAATAAGTACATGGGCAAAAGAATGTCATGCTGAGACAACCAATCTATCAAGAAGTCCGTCAGTGCTTCTCTATGAGGAGATTTCTCAAAACTGCTTTGTATTCGTAACTTTACTTCCGTTGAGAATGTCTGTAACATTAAATCACCAAAATTAAAACATACAGATTATTCTAAAATTTGAGGATGAAATTAGATTGGCTGAAGAAATTAGAAAGGTAAATAGATCACGAAGAATTTTGGGATAATCCTAAATTCCAAAATGTTCTTATCTTTGATGAAGTGAAGTGAATTGAAAAATACATTCAGATTAGATTTCAGGAGACACCACAGTGTTATTATGTTTCCAATTTTGGGAAAGTCACCATGGCAGTCAGTAATAACGCCATGTAAGATTTCATTGTCTACCATAAAATTATTCTTAACCCGATTGCTAGAAGTTACCTTAACGTTCCTATAAGAAACAACTTCTATAATATGCGTCGCGTTCTCCTATTATAAAACCAATAGCAATTACTATAAACAGTGTCGAGCTAGTAATTTTTGTTGGTTTTGAGCGTTAGCCAAGTTCATCGTTGGAAAACACAATTCAATTATTTTTCTGATGAAAAGGTATTATAATTACCGGAGAATCACAAGCCATCTTTTCAGCTGCTTTAAATAACGCTTCTTTGAGTGTAATACCGCCAACTTGACCCTGTAATATAATTTTTCTTTCATTATAATTATAAACTTATTTTCTTTTTAGATTTTAAATAAATAGTACATTGTATACTTGACGACTCGTATTCAAAGTATTAAAGCTTTATCTAAAGATTGCTAGCAAATGATCGCCTTTTGCTATAAAACCGCTCATTGTACACTTAATTTTTGTAAGTTGTCGTATACTACGGTGGCGTATACAAAATAAGTAAATAAATATTACTAGAAAGATAAAATCTCTCGAAAACATACTATCAACGTTCACGATTACGAACATTCCCTTTCTAGACACAACCTTCGCCACACATGAGGTTTTAGGTACCATAATCACCACACTTGGTAATGGATTTGCTTAGCAGTTCAAAAGATTCTCTCCCCAATTAATCTATACTATCCAAACTTATTGTTTCATTACTACGTGACTCATATGTTTTAAAGGAAACATGGGTCCAATAATTACGTACCTTGGGGTACAACTGTTTAATCATAGCTAAAAGGTCATCGGCGTGGTCGTGGTACAAAAAGAACGCCCACGGCAATCGGAAAAATTCAAAGAAGTCATCCAATTTGTTTGCCTATTAGAAAAATATATTACAACATTAATATGATACATAATATGCAGTAAGAATTATAAGGATCGAGATCATGAATATGGGCATGTAAGTATGATAATAGTTTGATTTGCATGGTACACTTCATGAGACTTGGGTAGGTTCTTGTAGAACTTAGGTCAGGTAAAATAAAATCATTAAAAGTCTAAAAACTATTTATGCACACATAGGTACATAAAAATTTCAATGCAAAAGTTTTTATTAAGTAATCATCATCATATCAGCCACAGGACGTCCACTGCTAAACATAGGCCTCCCCCATTGACTTCCAGATAGGCCGGTTGGAAGCGACCTGCATCCAGCGGCTTCCTGCGACCTTAATCAGGTCGTCTGTCCACCTTGCGGGTGGACGTCCTACGCTGCGCTTGCCGGTAAGCTTGCTTTATTAAGTAATGAAACACACATATTCTGTCCAGATTAAAAAAAATGCTGTCAAAAAGTCTGTATATTGCCTGGATATTCAAAAAGACGTTCAAATAAATCGTAGTTTAACTTACCATATACCTCAAATGCATATTATTAAGCTCAGATGCTGGTCGTCCATAAAGACGTTTAAAATTTTCTAGCGAATAATTTTCTTGACTTAGGCAGGTGACACCGTCGACGACTAATTCTCTATTCAGGTGTATTTTGAAATAACCTGTTTTATAAGTCTCGAAGACAAATCCCTGTTAGAAAATAAATATGTAAGAACATTTTCAGCTAGGTTATACTAAGGAGAGTATTTATGAGCAGGATCGTACGCTACCTCGTCGCATTTCAACGGAACGTGAGAATAGTGAGTCCCTTGCATGGATTGAAACTATACCATTTTCCAGGTTAAACAGCTACACGAGGAAACCGTTAAACATAATAATCAATTTAAAACATGTAAAAATTTTGAAGTATAATAAAGGCATACCCTAGATGGCACCAGTGTCGGATAAGATCGGCTAAAACACATGTGGCTGTTAATTATTTTTTTATACATATACCAATATAACATAGGCAAACTATTATTTAATTGTTATATCAAATGACGTCTTTGAAACACTGTATTTAGTTAATAGCACAATTTAAACGAAACACTAGATTATAATAATAGCTCTATCAGTAATTATAGGTACTAACATTATAGTCCAATGATTGCACGTAATTGTGAGGCGTCTTCAAACCTGGTGAGCGCACTTCCAAGTATTTTAGCCCTCCGGGTAGGACGCAGTACGAGACCTTGGGTTTATTAAACGGCAGCAACGACATCTCTGGTCTCGCGTAATCACTTAAATGTAGGGGTCCGTCACGAAACCTATAATAATTTGGGCATTCATCATTCATCCGTTTAATAACAAAAACCTCATAATGGTTATGATCGAGGAACCTTTGTTATTAAGTCACAAATTATCTCGAAATTTTAAGGTAAAATTTTCGCCCCAAAATATAAATAAATACACCACCGGCGTTGAATTGGAAATCTTTTTCTTTTAGCCTTCCTATCGTGGTTATTCGAGACACAATAGAAGACTAAAATAGGTTTGCGAACGTCGGCGTTCACTTGGGGTAAGATGAATGAAATTGATTAAAAATGACAATTAATAATAGGTCGTTACCTATGAAATTGCCGTTCTGCAGTACTAGTATTAGTAATAGTTTTTGTTAGGCTAAGGCTAATTAATTTTGTTTGAAAAACATGGGATGCTTTTTCCAAAAGTAGTCAATTGTTTATTGATTAGTGTTACATTTTCATCGCATTTCAAATCAAAAAATCCGTTTAATTTTTTTCATGCAAAACGGCAATTTCATATGTAAAGACCTATTATATTATTTCAGGGCTTATTGTTTAATGAAGAAAAGGTAACATATACCCTTAAAGATTATTTAAAATGCTTTGTATGTTATAAAAAGTATCAGGGGTTTTCCATTAGATAATTTTGTTGTCTTAACAGATTTATTAAGTTTCAAAAGTTACCCATAACAGCTACTACTTACGCCCCTAACGTCGCCGACAGGTCAAATTCTTTATGAAATGTCATAAATTCTTCATGGGGCCATTTATGTGAAAAGGGCGGTTTTGCCTCACTGAATAACGGGTCTAATTGCTTTCTTATTTGAATGCCCAGCTGCAACAAAATGTGCTTGTTGCATAAACGTTATAGGTGGATAGATTTAACGCCCTATAAATAAAATAAAAATAAAAATAAAAATAAAAATAAAAATAAAAATAAAAATAAAAATAAAAATAAAAATAAAAATAAAAATAAAAATAAAAATAAAAATAAAAATAAAAATAAAAATAAAAATAAAAATAAAAATAAAAATAAAAATAAAAATAAAAATAAAAATAAAAATAAAAATAAAAATAAAAATAAAAATAAAAATAAAAATAAAAATAAAAATAAAAATAAAAATAAAAATAAAAATAAAAATAAAAATAAAAATAAAAAAGCCTTTTATTTATTGCTACACACAGTAAATGTACACATATAATTAAGAAAAAACAAAAAAAGTATCATAAAAAAATATATAGTAATAAAATAAAAACAGTTAAAAGGGTTTTTTTTTATTTCTTTTTTCTGCAAGAACCCCTCTCATTAGAAGGTGAAGGCCTCCTCCAGGGACAACCAGTGCTGTCTATCTTCCGCTGCTCTCATCCAGTGGGTACCTACTACTTTTGTGATGTCATCTGTCCAGCGTGTATTTGGTCTACCCCTTTTTCTGTGGCCCGATGGTCCTAAGTCCTAACCATGATGTTGCTATTTTAGTCCAGCGATTGTCGTTAATTCTTGCCACATGCCCAGCCCATCTCCATTTCATTTTCTGAGCATAGCTGAGAGCGTCGATGACTTTAGTTTTTTGCCTGATTTTGGCATGGCGGATTTTTTGGATCTTTCTTATCTTTAGTATGCTTCTTTCCATGCTTCTTTGTGTTGTTGTAATCTTATTTTTTGTTTTCTTTGTAAATTTCCATGTTTGACAGGCGTATGTCAAACATGGAAATATGTGTAACGTCCTATATTATGTTAATATTATATTAAACTTATGATAGGTTGGACTCTTTGCTCATTAATATAAGGTATGTTTTTATAAGGTATGCTATATAGAGTCATGTTCCACTCGTCAGTTAATCTGCACCTATTGTAATTTCATTACTTAAACGTAATTCAGATCTCGTTTATAGAAAAAATACTACGTAGAAATTGCATTATAAGTTAGGTTATCAAACTGTTTAGCTATTAGGTAAGCTGACCTTTTCTCCAATTTCTTCGCTGTCGTAGTACTTGTGACTTCGTGCATCCGCGTAGTAACGTTTGTGGTACCTTGTGCAAGGACCCGCTGCGTATACGTACGGATCTAATGTACGACATTCATGGTCTATCACAACGCCTCCATCGTAAGCCAATCCGCTTTTGTGGATAGCTTGAAGAAAAATTTATATTAGGGTCTGCTAAAATTTTGTGAATTAATACTTATAAAAAATCGGAACACAGTTTATAAGTAAGTAGGTTAAAATTTGGGCGCCATAGGATATACATATGTACATTATATAAAGAAAAGAAAATAAATGAAGCAAAATAGGATGGGAATAAAACAGGAGTCCTTATCAAGCATAAACTACACCAAAACATATAATTAAGATCGACCCTTACTCTAAAACGAGATTAATTTTAATCATACCTACCTACATTATGTGAACTTATAAAATACTAGCTTCCACCCGCGGCTTTGCATGCGTGGTATGTTGATAAAAAGTCTATGTTCTATTCCGGAGTGTATCCTATGCCTGTGCCAAATTTCATTTAGATCCGTCCAGTCGTTTTGGCGTGATTGAGTAACAAACATCCAAACATCGTAACTTTCGCATTTATAATATTAGTAAGAGTAAGATATCTTACATAGACGCATAGGTAAAGTAAAGTAAGTATATTTACCAATAAAAGCTCTCATATTAACTCCAATTTTCCCGTAATAGAAAAACGCACTGCATTCCAATTTCAAGTAACCAGAGTAGGACAAGAAATCTGCGTGCGTAATGACGTCATCGATTGTAACAGACCACGATTTGAAGTAAAAAGATCGGTAGACTTTTACCTTAAGGTTATCCAAAACATTTATTACTGTTTGGTCCACCTAAGCAAAGAAAATAATTTTAAAAGGAAAAGAGACATTTTTGAATATAAAACATCGTCAGATACACAAGAGTCTAGGTGGCCTCCCCTTGCCCAGGTGACGGCCATTACTCTTATTGGCGAAATGAGATGGCATCAAAGCGTTGCTACCTCTCACTTCGCCCTCTTCTATTCTCTTCTTCGCTTCTCTCTCATCTCATACACATTAAAATAAAAGTCAAGTTCCAATTGAATTGGTCATGGTATTACACGAAAATGGCTGGACCAATTCAAATATATTTTTTATGCCATATTTACTAAGTTACTTAGATTATGGATAAGGACAAGTGAAAGAAGAGCTCGGAATATACTTTTTCTCAACTCTCTGGTAGCAGTCTAATAAATTGGAAAAAGGTAAACTATCTGACTTACAGTTTCATTATCAAAGACAGATACTCTCGCTTTCTCAGGATGCTCTGGAGGGAAAGACTCTACGAATATTATATTTTCTGGATTTAGTTTGATATCCAATAGTGCATTGACACATAGGTATGCGTGGATTGTAGACCCATATACTATGACTTTCTCTGTAAAAAGACAGTTGTGATAAAAGAATTAATGTTTTACTCATACTCAATATCATAATTGATAATGATAAATACCTACATTTTTGGTTATTTAGACCCAATACAAGTTAAGTAAAATCCAAAGCGGGAATATCCTAATATAAAACCAAGAACAAAACAGGACAAATTTGTTGCCTTTATGTTGATCTGTAATTGCTTATGGCCTTATAACTGTCAACTCGTTAACTATCGCTATTTTATAAAGCACTAATTAAAAAAGACTTCAAGATTCAAGCCTTAATAAACTACTATACTATAAGACCTTAATTTCTCTAAATAGTATACCATACATACTAGAATCATCGCCGACAAATTTCTTGACATAGTCCAAAGCTTTATTCGCTTCAACAACTGAATTGACTATAAACACATTCTCCGGTGTCTCATCATTGGCTATTTGGATCTCTGTGTCACTAAACCTCGGCTTATCCAAAGATATGTACGGCGTTGTCGACAAATTATTTCTAAAACATTTAAAGATCATAGAGATAAGAAGTCAGTAAGAATTCATTACCAACAAAAATTCGCAATCACGGCACCCACGACATTAAACACAACGGACAATCACATTACACATCACAAGACATCAGCCTATAAGTGTCCACTTTCACCTCCGGTGAAGCCTTTGCGAACGAGAAATAAAGAAGGAAGAAGGATACAGAATGATTGTGTATTAATCGCCCCGTTTGCACAAGGCCGATTGGCTTTTCCAAACTTCTAATATGAGATATTACTCGTTGTAAGAATCCGTGCGATGTTTCCCTTGAATATTATTATGTTAGTGTTGTCTTATTAATCTTAGAAAGTATTTATGACTTGAAAAGCTTTAAGCGTGTTTTTTTATCTCCAGCCCCGTTGGGCCACCAAGACGATGTTGTCTATGAATATAAGTGTTAGGTGAGGCTTGAATCCAGTCAAAGTAACCTCGTCAAAAAGTTAAATAACATTACCGTTAAACATAATTTAAGTAGGTAATACCACTATTATAATATCTCACAAAGGTTATAAAAAACATATCTAGTTTGGAAACACTGGAACCGATAGTGATCTGCGAGATAATATACTAAGTTTGGTCCATGTGATTTCTGTAGAAGTATTTATATACGATTCGTTTGACTTGACTTTATTTGTAGCTTTTTTTAAATATTTACTGAGAGATCTCCTTACTTATATTCCATATCTCGTTGTAACAACTGCACCATATGATTCGGATGCTGATACTGCTTACCAAAGAATAGAAACAGAAGATCGTAATAAAAGCAATTACCACTTGTTAATGTGACATATTTTTCCTGCCTGCAATTGAAATAATAAGCCATTTAAAAAGACAGGAATGTCTATGTATTGTTTAAGTGATATGAGTATAATATTATTATAAGCATACCGCTGTATTGCCATGACAGGAATCACTATAAAATTACTATAAAATCTGGTGAGATTTTCAGAAACACACGCCACCTTTAATACAATTTCAACTAATTGTATCTATCACTGTCAGCTACTAAGCTGTTACCGTAATTTCACCTAACCTAAAAGTATGGGTAACACCTAACCTAATAAATCCGAGATCGCGCGACAGTCTCAGTGCAGGCGTGGCTCTGCATCATCGTGAGCAAGGGTAGTTCGCCGCCCGAACGCACGTGACGCATCCACACATGCTTTAAAAAGCCATGAGACCACTTCAGGAGCACAGATGGGGTCCACTAATAATCGGCTCAAGTGGGTACAGTCGTTATTATAAATCGAAATGCTCACAAATCAATTTCCATCAAAGTTCCTTGGACGACGTTCACGTAGTAAGAGTAGGGGACGCTTTTGAGATATTTATCAGTAGTTACATAGGATCGAAGGAACATAGACTCGGTTACTTGCTTCGTATGTCTGGTGTAGGGCAAACCATTCGGCGATATCAAGGTCACATTGTTGAAGGTCAGGTATGTAGCTGTCTTACTGAAAAGTGAAGATTGAAGAGAAATAGATTTTGATTAGAAATCTTTATAACGAGTAGCAATAGGTAGAGCTTCCTGCTCGTTCTTATATATTGGTACCAATCCACATTGTAGAATAGCTTCATCGACGGACAGCCGTTTAAAAAGAGTCTGTTTATGATTTAAACGAAATAATGCTTTGCCTAAAACTAAAAACGAGAAACTAGAAACTAAAGGGTGTCTGTAAGAAATCGCATTTAGCGATAAAACAGCCCATTGTAAATACGTTATCTCATTTTTTTTTCTGTGTATATTTTGATGGTGTATAATAAATAGTATATAAATAAATTTAAACAAAGTTGAAAAAACTGCAATATACAAAGTTACAGTGATGGCATTGATTGGCTTTGGTGATGAATATTTTACGAACGAATGAAAATACTGTTTTGCTCGCTTTACGCCGTAAAGTTGATTTCTTTAGTTATATGATTGTTCATATTATATCATTGTATTTTCATGCTAAAAATGAATCTAAATACATACCTAAACAGCAAACCGTTTAAGAAAGCTAAAGCAGTTGCAGCGCCGCCAATAATTACAATGCGAGTGTTCACATCAGCTTTGGGTATTGTCGTAAATTTACGCCCGATGAACCAGGTACTGAATGGAATTCTGTTGACAAAAACACATATAAGGTAAATCTCTATCCACGCCCTTGTCACAGAGTTATCCAATGGTCCAAAACTTGTTCCGTAGGTGAGTGATCTGGGGGTCTCTAAGGTATAGAGTATTTCGGCTCAATCTCTTTGAATTACTACATACTGTCTAATCTGTTACTACAAATAAATGCATTTTTCATTATTCTTTATTAATACAGTTTTAGTACGTCACCTTCCTGACGTACAGTACGTTCGAGGAGTTTGTACAGTACAGCATTGAGCTATAGCTATAGCAGAAAATTGGAGGGTAGTGCCCTCCTTTTGTTAGACTGTAGTATATCAAAAGGGAGCTGATAAACAGGAACGCAAGAGAACCGATCCTGCTCTTGGACGCAGCTGGAGTGTTAATGCTTAAAACGGCGACATTCTGCCTATTTCACCTGCAGACGGTCCTTTGGGGACTCTTCGCTCTAATGACCTCAGGAAAGATGGTGAAAAAGTGGTCACGTATGTATCTATGTTAAGCAAAAGTATACGTACAGTTTGTCAGTGAAAAGACATATTTTCTTAAGTTCTGGAATAGCTTCACAGTCGAACTCAATATTTCTTGGCGTTAAAGGTACCATTGAAGCCACTATGGAGTTAGCTTTGTGTATAGTCTATAACATAAAAAGGAATAAAGAACATTAATATGCCGTTATTTTCTATTATTTTAGCAAGTGCAATTTCCAAGGTCAACAATAAATTAATTCCACGTTTTAATACAACAAATTATGAAAAAATATCTGTCGATACAAAAAAAAAAATTCGCCAAGTTATTTGGAGTAATAATTTGGAGTTTCATACAAATTTCATAGAAAAGTGTAATAGTGTAATTTTTGACAATTCGATAAAAGTATTGAATTTGATAACTTGAAACTAACGTATTGCAGATTCATTTTACATTGTTAAAAATCTTTACCCATTTGTTCCTATAAGCCGTGAGCCACAACAGAGTATCGTTTCCCGACAGCCTCATCATTTCCCTAGCGAAGAACCTGAAATGAGGCTCAAACACAGGGTACAAGACTGCGCACTTGATTGTCGCGAATCCAGCTCTTATGCCGTGCCCCATATAGTGGTATTTGTGTATCTGATATGAATCCAGATTGTACCTTCCTCGAATAAAGTCGATTTCAGCCGCTGATCTACAAAAAAACTTTAATATTTATCATTATTATAGTGAGTGACATTAAAAATCGTCTTTCTCGTTTATTTTTTAAGATTTATAATAAGACTAAGTTTTTAGATTTCGGATTTGTAAATTGATATTGTATTAATTATGATTACAAATCCGCAAACGGCACAAACAAATGTTATTCAATCATATCACACTTTTGAGTGTGGGTGAGCCAAGCTTCGGCAAGGATGGGTCGGCTCGACCGGAGTACCTAATGCCTCTTTAGTGTAAAGAGGCATTAGGTAATAGTGTAGGAAGACATTTGCGAATTTGATTAGATTTGATTTGCCAATATCTATACCGAATATACAATAATACCGAATATAAAATAAAGGAGAACAGCATCTACTAAAATGTCAAATAGTACATACTCTAGAATTCCCAGGCCAACAATGTGACTCCCGCAAGTTAAAATATATGTAAAGTTCTCTTTTTCCTTTATAGTATTTTCAATATGTGTTATAGTATCCCTTGCTTCTATATTTGCCAAGAGTCTTGCAATCTCAGGGATGTCGATAATGTCAGCTTCACGAACGCGCAATTTCCTTCACATGAAAGTGCTTATAAATATACACGTATTTAGTTCAAGATCAATACTTAAATTAATATCGTGTGATTTAAAAATGGAAAAATATATTTTACCAACCCTAATACTGAGCTCCGATGTGCAATGTACAGCGAATATCTGCAGCAAACTTTTGGTTTTGTTGGAACGAACTGCAAATAATGTTAACATTTTATATTTTACTATCGATTGCCTAAAAATGGCAAACGTTAATTTAGGGATTGACTTCCAAAAATGGTTACAAAAAAAATACGAGTACAAGTCCACATAACGTATTACGCAGTGTATCTTAGAAAAAAAATTGGTTCTTACTTTATAAGTTCGTAGAAAATGTTTGAATAACATTAATTAACAACGCTTACACAAAAATGTTGTAATAAGGGAAAGGTCTTGTCAGCTGAAGGTACACGAATAATGCAGTAATCCAAATCTTTCATCAGCTCAAAAGCGGCTTCCAATAGGTCGTAAGCATGCCTGAAACAATTCAATAACTTTAAGTGTAGGAGGACCATGCTTCGGCACGAATGGGTCGACTCGTCCGGAGTGATACCACGGCCTCACAGAAAACCGGCGTGAAACAACCACAACGTTTTGTTTCGCCGTGTGAGTGAGGTTACCGTAGGCCCAATCCTTCCCCACCCCATACCCTCCTAATCGCTAAATCTCCAAATCCCTAATGCCGAAAAGGTCGGCAACGCATTCGTAACTCTTCTGTTGCGGGTGTCCATGGGCGGCACTGATTGTTTATCATCAGGTAATCCGTCTGCTCGTTTGCCGATCTATTATATAAAGAATAATAATAATATTTCGCAGTGGATACATTTTTATGAGGGGAAAACCATCAAAAAAAAGCCTTTTTTAGCCCAGGGTGAGGCGAGAGGAATGTCAGACTCTTGCAGACTAAGAACTCCCCTGTTCCTGCCCCTTGTCTTCCCCGAGGCCGCGGTACCTTATTGCGCTTGCCCCGGCTGAAGTCTGGCTGAGTCTGTGGTGGTCTGTTGGCTCTTTGAGGCTCGCGCAGAACGCTACGCGCCGCACGCTCGGGTCGCGTGGAACACCTAATGTCTTTATAAACTGCGATATAAACTTAAGTTTAACGTATCTTTATATACATAGGTACAGGCCTGTATGTATATGTCTGTGATATAAAAGTTGATTCAATTTACCTGTCATCGATATCCTCACGGATCGCAAACAGTTCTATCATAAAAGCATTGTTTTTTCCTTGAACTGTCAAATTCTCCTTTTTGTGATGGACGAATTTTTTTTGTGGTTTAATAACTGTAATTTTATGCGAGACATTGTAAGACCAATTCTAAAACTGAGTCAGAATGGCAATACGAAAACACTATTGAAGAATAAAAATGTTTACCTTTACTTAAATATATAGAGCTGACGGAGTCAGTAAACATCGGTTGCTGCTTATATACCAAGGATCCTCCCACGATAGAACGTTTCATTCTCAAAGGTGCCCTGAATCAGGTTTAAAGCACTTTAATTTCATTAAGTTAAGTCCCAACCCTTCTTGGAAACGATATAGTAGATTTTAAAGAACATTAGACAGAGACGGGGAAAGCTGTAATCTCTGATAAACACGATGTCCAACCTATCAACCTATTTCAGCGTGGAAAATGATCCAATGATTTCTCGCGCCCTAGGTGGGGCGGGAGAAATGTCTCTCTTTCAGTGGCCAACAACTACCTCGTTGGTTTCTCTGCTTGAAGCTGTACTGCGGTGCATCATTGCTTGCATCCGCAACTTCAGCCGAGCATCGATCCTAATGAGTTCTTAGAAACGAGCGTTGAGTACGACGTGCGCTTGGGTGTGATGTGAGTTGGGCAGTGGATTATCTTAGCTCACCATCAGTATTCAACTATTTGGTAACTGTTGTACTCGTAGCAGAGAAAACCCATCACCTGTTAGCCACGCCATCACTCCATGGGCACAATAATATATACCTAAGTATTATTGATAATTCTCATTTCTCGAAAAGTTTACTTACATTTCAAACGATTTTCCTTCATTGACGTTTAGCAGTGTGGTATCAATGTTCACGATATCGTAATCAAATGGATCTTCGTCCAACATGTCCACTACAGAAGCACATTTAGATGGCATTGTTGGAGATCCAAGAAATACTTGTTCACTATACTGTTTAGATTCGATCTTCTCCAGAGACAAATGAACTGGTTGCCCATCGACATTTACCTTGCATGTGTCCTTTCTTTTCCTCATATTGTGGTATACGCGTGCCTTTAAAAATTGGAACAGTTATGTAGCTAATTGCTTCTATACAACATCTATGCATAGACTGAAAAACCTATACTAGTTTACTTAAATACGATGACTGCACGGTTGGTGGCAATTCTTTTGCTGTTTGGTGTGAACTTAATAACTTAACCTTTAACAGTCAAATGTTTCATGTAAAGTCACAACGGTAGGTACTCTTAAGTTAAGGGTTAGCGAGCACGTCGCAGCGACGCAGGATTGCCAACCAGCCAGTCTATTTCTTTTTGTGACGGGGAATATCATCAAATCACTTCTCTCGCCCAGGGTATGGAAAGTGGGATTGTTAGACTCTTTCTAAGTAAAAACCTATTCCTGTTTCTGTTCTGGGCCGAGGCCGCTGTATCTTATTGCGCTAGCAAAGAGTTTACTGTGCGACGTCAGCTTGATAATAAAGTTGTTGTTTTCAATAAAATGGGATGACTTCTAACTGATTATTTAATAAATTTGTTGATAGGTCTGCTTACTTCTTTGTGGCGGTCGTCTTTTACAGTCGAGGGACGTTGGAATGGGCTCCACTGGCCGCACAAAATTGGGTTACTAAAACATTATCACGCAAATACAATATTTTTTTTATTTTTGTTAGACATTATCTAGCTTCATTTTGATCGCTTCTCCTATATAAGACTAACCAAACAAAATGTAAACATTAGCTTTTTATTATCATACTATTTTATAAATGCGAAAGTTACGATGTTTGGATGTTTGTTACTCAATCACGCCAAAACGGCTGGACGAATCTGGCTGAAATTTGGCACAGGCATAGGGTACACTCCGTAATAGGACATAGACTAATTTTTATCAACATACCACGCGGGCGAAGCCGCGGGCGAAAACTAGTCTTTTTATATAAAACCTTCGTATTTAAAATTTATCTCGCCTTCTCCGACCTCTAAAGTTTTCAAATCTCACCTACTTGTAGGTATATGGTGAATGTTACCCGAAATCAGTGAGTAGAACATTTTTCCCCTTTCTCTTTTCCTTTTCTAAGGCAGTGGCAGTTTTTAAGCCATGAAACGGTTTCAACTCATATAGTTTCTGCAGCTTATTGTAGTTTATATCTGTGTTTAAACACATAACTGCGACCGCGCGTCCTTGCCTCTGGAATTTCATATCAAAAGACGTGGTATGTGTATAGCATTTCTATGGAAATAAAACTTCGTGTGCATCATGTTTTGTATGAAATATCTCGCCTTGTAATGATAACACGATTTTAGAAAAAAATTAGAGTTGCATCGAATATACCTACACCACTCTTTAGCACTATGCCGTACCAATACCCAAAATTTTTGTAGTGTTTTGTGTGTTACTTATACGACAATAAGTGTTTCACTGCCCAGAGGAAACCCGTTTGACCCAGTTCATCTAAAAACCTTAAAAAACCGCCAATACCGCACTACTCAAAGCCCTAAAAAAATTGGCAGCGCACTCATTCCTAACCTGCAGCCCAGATTGTATGTACCGTCATGTGAGGTAAAAACCTAACTTAGTAGCTAAAAGTGAGTCTACACCTCTTAGAAACTAAAATCTAATGATTTAGGTAGGATACAGCTTACATCAGCAACGATAATTTTCCTATTCAATTCGGGATGACGACCAATTATTTCGCTGATATAATATTCGCCATAAAGGTCTATAAGGCGTGAACATTTCCTGTCTAATAATCTCACTATGTCATCGTTATCTTCCTCCCTAAGGAAACAAATAATATTTGAAACAATCAGAATTTCATGCAACTACAGAGTTGCTAATGTAGTTTAAAGAGCTGTTGGCTTTGCTATCAAGAGATAATCCGCACTAGGTAGGTACGTTATATAAGATACGTTTTTTACGAAAAATGTTGCTTCATGCCAGTTTTCTGTGAGGTCCAATCCTTCTTTACCCCCACCCTCAATCTTCAAATCCCTAATAACCCAAACGGAGTTTATACAAGTGCGTTGCCAGCCCACAACGCACTTGTAGAAACTCCTTTGGTATGGTAACCAGTCCATGGGCGGCGCTGATAGCTTACCATCAGGTAATCCGTCTACTCGTTTGCCCAATTAATCATAAAAAGGCACATTAGACCTTGACAGGTTTCGAACCTTCACCTCCGGGTCACCACGACGAAATACAAATTATTTAATGACTATAGGAACTCACACGGCTCGTCTCATCTTCAGCTTTGGACAAAAATCTATTCTCAGCGCCGTGTATAAATAATTTCCTTCGCCAATAGTACTATTTTCCATGACCATTGGCATGTATTTAATTATGTTACGTTTCCTAAACGTTACAAATCTTGAAATAAGTTCTGTAACCAGAAAGTGTTGAGTAGATAAGTAGGTATATAATAATTTATTTTTTCCTTGGATATTCGATTCTGAAATTGTAACAATAAAGTCCAAAATATACATAGAGAAGTTATTTGAGGCCAGTGTTCTGCACAAATTATCCACGAGTTAAGTTTTAATTTAAGTATAATAAACTAAGCTAGAAATGATGCAACAGAGCTTTCAAAGAATTTTTTTAGTAAACTAGCGGCCCGCCCCCACGTCTCACGGGTCCAACATCCTCGCTAGCAACAAAAAGGTCACCTTTCTCCAATTTTCCCTCTACTTTTCAAATATTTTCTTTAATTAGAACCTTCTCCTGGTCATAATAAATACAAAAAAGTATTGGCTAAATTGGTCCAGGCGTTGTTGAGTTACGCGCTTACCAATACTTACATTTTGCGATTCATTTTTATATATATGATTCAGCCTAGGGCAGGTAGGTACTGTAAAAATTATCAATACTCACCATCTGGACAAAATGAGGGCACAACTAGCAGAATGTACTGTATATAGCTGTCGTTTAAAAATACTGATATCAATGCTTCTTCTACAAAGACGTCAGTTACAGAGTCAATGCAGCACATGAAATGTATGAAAAGCGTATTCCTTGACAGGTAGTATCTCCTGCAAAACAATTGAACATTCAAGCGTATTAGTCAAGCCATACGGTTCAATATCTATTAAGATGTCTTAATGACTGTGTCAATCAAAGCTAAACTTTGAAATGTTAGATATAAGGTTGAATTCTACCCACCGATATAAATTCCTCATCCAGTTTTCCCAATCACTTGGATCTACCCCAAGAACATTAGGATGGTCGCCGAGCGCCATAAACCCGGTTACTTCTTTGTTTTCATTCACCATACATATTGATAGGGCTGAAAGTTCACTGAAAATGACACTTACAAGTTATATTGTATCCATAGTCGTGTAGTGTAATTCAGCCAATTTGTTTTTAAGTTGAGTGTTTTTGTCAATTATGTTTTTCACTTCAACTTCACTGTCATCCCGCTCCTGCAGCAGTTGGTCGCACAGGTGCTTAGAAGATTCCAGCTCCTTGAGTGCTGCCCTCAGTCTGCTCTCCATATCCTTAGACCGAGTCATCATATTGAAATGAAGGGATGGTATTCTGAAATGAAAGAGAAAAAAAAGGACAGAAAAAAAAACAGGGAAAATTACTTGAAGCTAGGTTTGGATGAAATCTATAAGGTATTAGAAAAATAAGAAAACAAAGGAGTGAATAATAAAGCTGTAAATTATTGAATATGATGAAAAAATTAACTGTTAAGTACTATAATGATGAATTTAATTCATTGTATGCAGGTAGTTGGAAAACAAAGGAATTGGATTAATACTTTAAGTTTTCTTAAGATTTGTAATTTGTGATTAATTTAAAGTACAAATAGACTTAATCACACTAGTTACACTACTTATTGGGCTAATTTCTACTACTATGGACTATGCTGTTTCTTGCTTGTTCTTTTCCAAATGACTCTAGGTTTTTATTACGAGCACCTTGCTTCACTGAGAGACAGTCTGACGATCAATTCAATATTTATATTTCAACAGTGCCAGTGCATTCATTGAAATTATTTCAATGAATTCACTCTCACTTCATTTAGTTTTTTACATATAAATTGCCGTGTAAAAGTGCCGTTTTATGGCCTATTTGCAAAAATAAATTCATTGTTTCATTGTTTCACTATAAGGTCCGATTTTTAGTTCCTTGGTTCCAATTGATTTAGATTCTACAGAAGCAGGATTATACTATCATTAGAATTCGAAATTATTATACATTTGAAAGAATTCTAATAATATTATGTTTGCCCATAGGACTGTCAACATAATATGCAAGTTTTTAGATGATCAAAATATTTATTTCCAGTTCCGAAATAAACCTGACAAATCCGGGCATTGTGCATGTACTTCATCAATAGTGGACTAATTACCCCACGTAAGTGAGGGAGAGACATACTTCGACACGAAAGGGCCGGCTCGACCCGAGTGATAACACGGCCTTACAGAGTACCGGCGTGAAATAACATTCTTGTGAAACTTTGTGAGGTTACGGGAGAGGCCCAACTTTCCACTCTTCAATCAAATTAACTTTCCTTAAATCTTCAACAACTTACAACAGGCCGCAATGTATTTTAGTGACTCCTTTGGTATTACTAGTGTCCATGGGCGGCGAGAATTGCTTACCACCAGATAATCGCATCTGCTCAACACTGGTGGTCGGTTGTCTAAACTCGACCTCTTATTTAAATTTATTTTTTAAAATTAGTTTTAAGTGATTTTATTGTGTAAATTCTAAACTACTACGTTGAAGTAATTGCAAAAATACCAGAGGCATTGTATGCGTTGTGATTTGGTTAAGAATTAATTTGTTAAGTTGAAAAGTTCCTGTGAAATGTCAGTGGTCAACGGACGGAGCAAAAGTTTAATATAAATAAAACTTTAAACCAGGGGAGTATAAGTGATAACTATTATTTTTATCTATATAAATTAATAGACGCCCTTATTGTGCCCTAAGGAACATATAGATGGTCTCAGTTTGCTTCGCAAATTGTTAAACACGACAATAATACTTTTGTAGATACAATACAAAAGAAAAAAAAGTTTGATACTTTAATA